TTTCTCTCTTAAAAGTTATATCTAAAATAATGTTAAAATTTTTGAAAAGTAGATCAAACTTCAAGGTCAAGGTCACATGGCCAGCAAGAGGCCCATGGGCCACATCACTGACCTGAGCAATGTGGCTAGAAAAAAGCAGAAATCAATTTATTATTGAAAAGATTACCAATAGTGGTCCCAACCAATCGTAAAGGGAGAGGGTATGATTTGAACAAACTTGAATCTTCACTAACTATTAGGATGCTTGCATACTTCTTGACTACCTGTGGCTTTATTGCTCTTTACATTTGAACTTGCATTGTGGCTTGCCCTATACCCCCTGGGGGTAATGACTTGAACAAAACTGATCGAATCTACCCCACTACCTGAGAATGCTTACATATGAACAGGATTAATCATGGCTTTGCTATTTCTTGAAAAGAAGAATTTTAAAGATTTTTTTCTACATGTTTCTATGTAAAACTTGGATTCCATGTTGTGGCCCGTCCTACCCCAGGGGTCATGATTTGAACAAATTTGAATGTCCACTACCTGAGGATATGCTTCCATAAAAATATTATTATTCATGTCTTTGCTATTCTTGAGAAGAAGATTTTTAAAGAATTTTCCTAAATATTTCTATGTAAAACTTTGATCAGCCATTGAAGCCCACCATAGCCCCAGGGGTTATGATTTGAACAAACTTGAATCTCCACTACCTGAGGATGCTTCCATAAAAATATGATCATTCATGCCTTCGCTATTCTTGAAGATTTTTAAAGAATTTCCCTATATATATTTCTAGGTAAAACTTTTGATCGGCCATTGTGGCCCCACCCTACCCCCAGGGGTCATGATTTGAACAAACCTGAGGATGCTTCCATATAAATATGATCATTCATGCCTTAATTTGCTATTCTTGAGAAGAAGATTTTTAAAGAATTTTCCTATATATTTCTATGTAAAACTTTGATTGGCCATTGTGGCCCCACCCTACCCCTGGGGTCATGATTTGAAAAAAAACTTGAATCTACACTACCTGAGGATGCTTCCCTTTAAGTTTCATCTTTCCTGGCACAGTGGTTCTTGCACATATGAGAAAAAGATTTTTAAAGAATTCATCTATATATTTCTATGTAAAACTTTGATTGGCCATTGTGGCCTCACCCTACCCCCAGGGGGTCATGATTTAAACAAACCTGAATCTACACTACCTGACGATGCTTCCCTGTAAGTTTCATCTTTCCTGGCACAGTGGTTCTTGAGAAGAAGATTTTTAAAGAATTTTCCTATATATTTCTATGTAGAACTTTGATCGGCCATTGTGGCCCCACCCTACCCCCGGGGGTCATGATTTGTACAAACTTGAATCTACACTACTTAAGGATGGTTCAATATAAGTTTCATCTTTCCTGGAACAGTGGTTCTTGAAAAGAAGATTTTTAAAACATCATCAAATTTCAATTACTGTAGAAGTACTTTTTTCCGCGTGGTATTAATTTACGCTATGTACGCGCTTACAATTTTTCCGCGGAAATTTGTCCAAGCGGTTTTAATATAAATGTAAGGCATATATAGTGACAATCTAGAAAATCCGCGTAATATTCTACCCGCGGATTAAACAGAAATTGAAATTCGGCGGAATTATGACCCCGTGGAAAAAAGTACGTCTACAGTATTTCTTAATTATCTCCCCTTGAAAAAGGGCGTGGCCCTTCATTTGAAGAAACTTGAATCCCCATCACCTAAGGATACTTTGTGCCAAGTTTGGTTGAAATTGGCCCAGTGGTTCTTGAGAAGAAGTTGAAAATGTGAAAAGTTAACGACAACGACGACGACGACAGACGACGCACAAATTTTGATCAGAAAAGCTCACTTGAGCCTTCGGCTCAGGTGAGCTAAATACCATAGTTTATATGGGAAGGGGTTGTCACAGGTAATGTGCTTGTGTTTAATATGAAAGCACTCTTTTTTCTCCTTCAAAAGCTATGACCAAGGTTCAACTTTTTGTGACAGACTTAACAGACTTTTGGAAAAGCAGGAGACAAAAAGGTCTAATAGGGACTTCCTACATAGTTTTTTGAGTTGTTTTACCAACTTAAATAATAAATAACAACAAAAATAGTTGAAATAATATATATTTAGCTTAGACATAACACAAAGATAAAACAAATTTAAGGTCAACAACACATAAAATTTACATCATCTGTAGATAAAAAGAATCACAGATATGCCATTTTGTTATGTATACATATAAAACAAACAAAAAAGTCATGTTAATATGAAAATATCTCAGCACTATTAAATCACAATTCACTTTAAAATCAGACTACAATGCAGCTAAAACCAAAATAAATAATCGGATTTCTTTTACATGTATACTGAACATATGTGTCAAAGAGTCATTTGCTTGAGGATCTTTCCAATTCTTGCTGAAATAAATCCCCCCAAGAGTCCACATCCATACTAAAGAATTTCCCCTTTGGCAGATCATCATAGGATGCTGGGTTACTCAAGAATCCGAGCTGCCATATCCTCTTCATTCCATTCCTACCGAAGTTCATCCTGAAAGTTTCCTGTAATGGAATATATAGTAAATCAAAAAACAGAATTTCAGTAACTGTTTACTTAAAGTGTATTAAAGACATCCTATGGCATTCTAAACAATCTGCATAATTTTCTACCTTGGGATATAGAACAGAAATTGTGAATTTTTTAACCTTGCTGTATTTGAATTATTTGTGATCTTGCAGTTTTTGAAGATAAATACATTATATGTGTGTACAATTTACACATTCAATATACTCTTGTATCAGGAAGGGAGAGAATGTATGGCTGGACTGGGAATCGAACCAGGGACCCCGGCATCTCCAGTCAGGTGCTCTACCAACTGAGCTATACACGGTCCAAACCATTACAATCCTCCCTCCTTCAATGGTCTTCAACCCTAACCCTAACCCTCAAAGACACAACCCAAGTTCTTAATTATTACCCCTGGCAGGACTTTCACCTGCAAATTCCAGGGGTGCATGTCAATGGCACCAAATCTGTAACAGGAAAGGAGAAAATGTATGGCTGGACCGAGAATCGAACCTGGGACACCTGCATCTCCCAAGTGAGTTAAATTTCACAGGTCTGGTACAATCACTCTAGATTTAGCTACGTAGCTTGATTTACCTACATAGCTTTATTTACCTACCTGAAGTAGCTTTATTTAGCTACCAAATCAATTTATTTCAATAAAAAAGCAGTTTTCTCAGGGTGTGCAGAAAATATCATTTTGATGCAGTGATCATTTTCAACTTTGAACTCATCTGAAAACAACTCATGAAAAAAATCCCTCTTGGAAAAATGTCTTTTTCTGAGCAATTGCAATCAAAGTTCTGAAAGTTTTGGGGCTATATGACAGTAAGAACAGTTACTCCTTGAATGAAATGACATTGAAGTCCAGTTCCGGTTAACGCGATAATAGGTCGGTAATTATTCAGCACAATGTGAAGTAATCATACTCAGTCATGCCTCACCGCGCCCAATAGAGAGGACAGTTAACCAAACAATGGAATTACATGGTCCAAACGCAGCAATGTATAAACTATCTCTTAAGGAAGCGTATTAGGGCCGCAGCAGTATTTTTAAAAATTTGTTATAACAAATTATTAATTTGTTATAACAAATTATTAATAATTGATAATTAATAATTAATAATTGATAATTTGTTATAACAAATTGATAATTTGTTATAACAAATTGATGATTTGTTATAACAAATAACAAATTGATAATTTGTTATAACAAATTGATAATTTGTTATAACAAATTAATAATTTGTTTAAACAAATTGATAATTTGTTATTACAAATTACTAATTTGTTATAACAAATTGAAAATTTGTTATAATAAATTGATAATTTGTTAAGACAAATTACTAATTTGTTATAACAAATTATTAATTTTTTTAAACAAATTGATAATTTGTTATAACTAATTACTAATTTGTTTAAACAAACTGAATTGTTATAACAAGTTGATAATTTGTTATAACAAATTGATAATTTGTTATAACAAATTACTAATTTGTTTAAACAAATTGATAATTTGTTATAACAAATAAAAAAAAAAATACTGCTGCGGCCCTAAGCTTCTGTAATCTCTGCTTTGGATTGTTTTTTAAGCCTCCCTAATATAAATATCAATAGTTTGCGACTTCTTGTCTCTTTTTAATAAAAAGAAAACTTTTGAAAACTTACCTTGAAATAGCTAAAGCTACCTGAGGTAGGTAAATAAAGCTACGTAGGTAATTCTACCTACGTAGCTAAATCTAGTGATTGTACTGGACCTGAATCAGGCCGATATCCAAAGCCCGAACCATTACATTTTAAGACATCATTGTCAGATTGGTTTGAACGTCAATAAGGCAAAAGTAATCATTTGAACAAAATACGTGGTCATACCTTCCAGCTATGGCCCTTTGCTTTGTCATCTCTGACCAATGGTTGTAACTCTGGAAGTACTAATTTATTGCATCTGGCTTTCCATATAAACTCAGAATCCATGATTACAGAATTCCACTGCTTACAAACTAGACAAACGTTAAAGATATCCTTATTCGGCAAATTTGAAAAAATCAATTCCTGTACTTCGTGTGGAAGATCCTTAAAAGTTACCGCTTTTTTATCTGTAGCTGTCGTCATTGCGACATAAACAGCGCTGTTTTCTGTAGTTCAGCAAGCTGTTACTGAAACAAACTGAAACTTTATACTTTAGACACGGTCAGTGTCTGAGGGCGCCTATCTGTCAAGCCAATTGTTAAAAGGGGGCGTGTCCCAACAAGACACCGTTATTCACACTGTAACCACAAAAATCATGTATTCGAAATCGTAAATATTCTCTTTCCTCCTGAATATCACAAAGCAGTCTATTAATTCAAAGAGAACAGATGCTGCCTTTCTCATGTCATAACATGATGCAGCACAGAGGAAATTTTATAAACATATAAGCTCTTCCATTTGGGAGGTAAAAAATGCATACAACATGTCTGCGCCCATGAACACACGTCTCCCGTCCAAAGACGTTTATTATTTTACAATACGATCAAATATATATCAGGTCGTATTACTTTCATTGCTTATTTTTCTTCCATGGAATACAAAGACTGTCTTAGATATCGTATCATATACTTTGCTCTCATCTGAAATTCTGATTTGTGCCATTTTGATCTCAAACTTTTTAATAGGGTTGTATGTTTCACAAAAAAGTAACCTTGTCAAAAAGTCAGTGTCATACAGAGTAAGTATCTTTAATATGTAAGTACTAGTATATTTATTTATTTAAAATGTACCATTTATTCTTCTTTGCTATAACTGCAGGATTGTAACTGTCTAGTTGAGAAAATTCGGACAGACAAATTCACAGCTACATAAACATGATAAACAGGCATTGAAAAAATCCTCGATTTACAGTGACGCTTTTTGTTGCACACTAAAGTGCACATTTCTTGTATTATGTGTGTTCCCACATCAATTTTATAATATCTGTTCAGTAACATCTTCTGCTATCCAACAAAAATATACAGGTTGGTTAAAGTATGTGTCTAGAATTAGAGTAAAAGGTAATTGATTTACCAATTTTTAATGCTCAAAAGTGGAAAAAATTTTCCCAACAGTGCTAAAATAATTGTACATTTTGAAAAGTCTTTAACAGGTAATGCACATTTGAAAAAAAAAATGTATGAACACGATGAAAGCTTTGTCTCTTCTGATGCAAACAGGCTAAGGCCAAAGTTTTTTTTTCTCTTGGTTTACGATTCCGCGACCCTATCTTTCCCTATTTACAAAAATAAAAATAATGTGTCTGACTCTTAAAGCTTAATCCGAAATTTTCTCAACCAAACGACTGTTTTTTATAATTTACAACACATCTTAAACATTCGAATGAAATACAAATACAGACTGTCAAACCACATGGTGGTAGAATCCAAGGACCAACCAAGGGGCGACTCACTTACAGACTGTTTCTATACTAATGACCAATGCATCGAATACTCCGTCGGAACTCCTCTAGATTTAACACTTCCGGGTATGAAAAAGTCCATCGTTACAAGTTATACACAACAAGACGCAAAACAGCTGGACAGCTATCGATGTCATGCCAAAGATGTTGGAGAAGATTTTAGATCTTTTTATTGTCAAATAATTAATTCATGCTGTGAATACAGACATATTTTTACTGTCAAATTGTGAAGTTTTTAACTTCCTAAGAAGTCACACATCAGATCCGATAAAAATAAGTAGTTCAATCGGCATACAGATGTGCGTCAAAACTTTAATTAGAAAAAAGAATTTTTTATTGAAAAAAAAGTTTGAAGAGAAATTAACAAAATTATGACTATGCCAAAAGCCTGGAAATCTAATGAGAAGAAAATTTTAGAAGTTTAAAATTGTACTACTATGTAAGAAATGAAAAAAATGTTTGATAAACAATTAATCTGACAATAAGAAACTTTTACATTTTAATAGTAGTAGTAGTAAATTTTATTTAATGCCAATGTTGTTTTATTATTTTTTCTCGATATTTATATACCTTGTAATTGGGGGAAATATCTTTTAAGATTCTTTCTCTCTTGTTTAATCATTTTAAATACAATGTTCATACAGAAAAATTATTGAAATGTATATTATGTAAATTATAAACAATGAAATAGTTTTATATTAACGATTAATGTGTGCCACGTACGCGCACCAAGAAGTCTCCCTAAATTTCAAACTTCTCCCTGAATTTTTTAAGGGAGAAAAGTCTCCCTAAATTTTGGGTCTAGGTTGGTCCCTGGATACACATATCTTAAGTAAAAGTTTGTTGTGAACTAATCGTGAAAAAAATATGTCAAAGTTCCAAATTATTCTTATTTTTATTTTTCGACCGCCCAATGCATATTTTTGTGTCAAAAAATCGTAAACCAAAAAAATAAAAACTCTGGCCTAAGTTAAATATAATTATAGGTAGCTCAAACATCAAGATCATGAGGTAAAGAATTAATAGTACACTGTACATTCCATAAGGTCTTATATGTCACATGTACATGTAATGCACTTGTAAGAATATGGAAAACCCTTTTTTTAATTAAAGAACCCCTTTTTTTTTTAAATGTTGAGCAATGGTGGAGGTCAGCAGTCAAAAAAAAAAGTTTAAAATTGTTAAGCCATATCTTCTGTTATTCAAAAGTTATTACCAAGGTTAAAATTTTCTGTTAAGTTGGTCAAGACTTAAAGGTCATGAGGTCAAAAATCTAGGGTTTTCTGAAAGGTTTTACCATAGGTAATGAATGTGAAATGTGAAAGTCTTTTCTTCTCTCATTCTGAAGATATAACCAAGGTTAACTTTTTTTTATGATGGATGACAGACAGACAGCTAAATGATGATATCAGGGATGATACAGTAAAACTCGTTTAAATGTGAACACGGATATAGCGAATTCACGGATAAAGCGAAGTGTTTCTAGGTTCCCGGAAAAATTCTTAACAAATCAATGTAAAATTTTACGGTTATAACGAACTCTGATATAACAAATTTACAGATATAGCGAACTGATTTTGAGTTCCGTTGAGGTTAAATATAATGAAATTTACATCTTTTATAACGAACTTTCAAATATCTCATAATTTAATAAATTGAACTGACTTTATTTTCATTTAGTATTTGTATATATAAAATTCAATTTATAATAAACATGATAAAACCTTAAGTTATCGAAGGTATGTTTCGTAATATTTGCTTCCCTAACATATTTGGTAGTAATACTAGAAGGAAACATGCATATTGCGAATTCGCTTTAAATGGTTATACGAATTCGTTATATGGATATAGCGAATTATGGATATAGCGAATTAAATTCTCAGGTCCCCAGGACTTCGCTATAACTGAGTTTTACTGTATTTATTCCTGATGATATTTAATATCACTGTGCTTTTTGCCAAAGCTGGGAACAACAGTGTATTTTCATAACAAATATTCACTAAATGCTTATTTAAAAAATGTTTTTAAATTTTGTGTGTAAATCACCCAGACTTGCACACACACTTCAAAAAATATGCCTTTTTGACAAGTCTGTGTGATTTATAATTACTCACCAATAACTTCGGGCTTTATGGGATTTGATCACATGACCAACCCATATTTACATCCTGATAAAACTTATAAAATGGTTCCTTATTTCTTAAATAAATGTTTACCATCACATGTACCTATGTTGCTTGATAGTAAACTTTCATTATTATTTCAGGTCCGTGCAGTTTTAAAAGGAGCCTGCTTTTACATGCTGGCAGCCTGTTTCTTTCATGTGATAGCTGTTCTCTATGGAGCACCATTTTTTGAGTAAGGTTCTTAGTATTTATTTTTTAAGAAAACTTTTCAGCAAATAAAATCTTCATTGTAATTTTACATTTTGGATACTCTGAGAATTATGATGCATAAAAAATACTACCTCTGCTTTAGAAACTTCCATTCATGGGATAAAGATTGAAAAAAAGTGAATATTGTATCATTTTGTATAACTGATGCACATGTGAATGTTTTTCAGGTCTATTTCCCAGACCTTTCACTTTGGAGCCCTGCTGGCTAGCACTGCAGTCTTCCCAGGCCTTTGTTTACTAGGGCTTAATGTGTCAAGCTGGATCAGAGTCTTCTCACTCAATAGGTAGGGAAAGAAAGCATATTAAAATCTAGTGTAAAAATTTTTGTAACCTTTGAACAAGGTTATCAATAAATGAACATATACTTCATAATAAACTGAAATATGCTAACTTTTTTCATCCTACTTACCTATTACGGTATTACCTAAATCAAAAACTGAATTTCTTAACTGATTTCTCATTTTTCCAATGTAAATTCTGCAGAGTTTTTGAAATCAGTTAGTTGGAAAAACATTGGCAATGTTTTTTTAATGTAACATCAAGGGAGTGGAAATAATTATAAGAACTAGAGAAATTACCAGTCTAATGCCAGCAGTTGATTTAGCTTTTGTGGTAAAGTTTCCAATATTGAACAGTTTCAATTCTTCTGTATTTTCAGTGCAGACCTGGGACCAGAGTCAGTTGTACAAATCACAGCCCTGTCTTCCATTGTTGGAGCGTGGCTTGGAGCATTTCCTATTCCTCTGGACTGGGACAGAGACTGGCAGGTATACATTATAAAATATGACACAACTTGTGCAAAGAATTTACATTCTATATTGTAAATACCTTATTCTTTTTTTTTTTACTTTCTCACTGTCTATCAAATTTCCAAAGTTTTAAATTGATAATGTCAGTACTACATGTATAATGGTTTGGGCCTTTGTGACTGGCTGGGATCAGTAGGTAGAGCACCTGACTAGTCATGCAGGGGTACTCAGTTAGATTCATGCTAAATATTATCAAAAGCAAATGAGAATTTAGGTTGTGTCCTCAAGGACAAAGACAATTTAAAGAGGGAGGAATGGTTTTGACTTTGGATATTTGCCAGGTACTGCGCCTGATTATTGATGCATGGATCCCCGGTGAAATTTCCAGACCAGCAATATATTTTCCCTCTTTCAATAGTTCTGAGATTGATACACAATGTCATAACATTTGTATCAGAAAAAAAGTTTGGAGAAAAAATGTTTTTTAAACTACGAATTTCTTCCATATGTTCAGAAATGAATAGTTACATGCACTGCTATAACTGACCAGTGCACCCTGGTATATGGTTGAACCACTATCAATTTATTTTCTTCTTCATATTTTACAGGAATGGCCAATAACATGTATGGTGGGAACCTTGTTTAGTTACATGACAGGATTAGTAATTGCTACTCTTCACCTGTGTATCCGTTATAATCAACTAAGGAAGCACAAAGTCACATGACACCAGGACAACCAAAGACTGTGTATCATACTGACTAATGATTTATTGTATGCATGTATGTCATTTCAAATGAAGGAAGTATTTTCAATGTTTTGGGAAATGGTTTCTTTTCACAAAATCAAAATACATTTATTATTTATTGAACAAAGATTTTCATTAACCTATACTAGATATGCATAATTGGGATATGGTACATGTCTATTAAGTTCATTGTTTATTACTTAATATTTCATATTTTTGTATGCTCTTTTTTGGAACTAGTCTTTTGAATAAAATTTTTCAGATTGTTACAGTTTTTTCTTATACTGTATTTAATCACTGGAGTCAATGATAGTTCCTATAAAAATGTAGAGTAGCTCAGAAATGTGAAATATTTCAATTTAAAAAAAACAACAACCCAACTTTATACAAGTTGTAAGGTCACTGAAAGGGTAATATATTTATTCTCTAGAAATATACTGTCAATTATTTTTATTTTTACTAACCTACATAAGTTTCAAAATGTTTTTAATAATATATTCTATCTTTTCACAAAATGGTTTTACTAGTTGTGTCATGCTACCAAAAATAAAACCGTCTTAACACTGATGAAAGATGATTTTCATGTAGAAAAAAAGTGTGCGGTGCAGTAAAGTTCAGAATTTAGATCGGGATCAAAATACGACGAAAGGGGAAGTAACTTTAAAATCGATTATGGATTTCATCCTCCAAACTGCACTGTGCACACAGAAACAATCGGTCAACAATGTTTTAGGAAGCAATGTAAAGTTATTACAAACATGTTAAAAGGATAACAAGATGACATCTGTAAAAGTTGCTGTTAGAGTTCGTCCGATAAACCAAAGGTAAGAAACTTGTGACAGTGAACTTGTGTTGGAAATTCTTGTTCCTGAAAATCAAAATGATATCTGCTGAACTTTCTCCCAGTTTAACTGTATGTCAGAGGAGTACGTGTCGGTGTTGATTATGTAAACTCTGAAAAATACGGATGAGTTACAAATGTTACAAGCTAAATTTCATTTTATTCTTGTTAAAGGGAACATGATCTTGACAGCAAATTCATCATCCAAATGGATGGAAGGAAAACCACCATTACAAATCTTAAGGTAAACATAAATGACAACATCACACAAGGGTTTGATTATCAAACAATATAAATCACATGACAATATCACATAAATGGGATTTAATTGAAAGGCATTGATTGCCAGTGCTATCACTATTACTAAGACTTATATTTTTGAAATGATAATTGTTTTTATTGTTAAGATAAAGTGTGAGACACATCGTGGCATACCACGGCCAAAATGTACGATCCTCTTCCATTCTGGCCGTAGTTGAATAAAAAGAGAAATTTTAGTAATGAATTAAAATATTGACCAATGCAAGTAAAGCATAGTTGGAAAATGAACTTTGAACCAACCTTTCAATGCCCAATCGCAGAATACGAAATATATCTTGTATACTGTTGATGTCAATTGTTGATTTCAATTGCGATGGAAACAAATATTATCTTCGGCTGAACATGATGTTACAATATAGAGGCGTAATTTTGTAAGATTACGACAATTTATATGTGATCAAGCAGCCACGGGAAGGAGATAGCTATATGTGGACTCCGGACCATGGATTGAGATGATGAATAAGACCATCTGAAAAAAAAACAACATTCATTTAATTTCCTTAATGACAATCTCTCAGAGATATCCAATGAATGCAAGGAAGTTAAATACATTAAAGGAACTATACGTTTCCTTATTTGTTACCTTATTATAAGGAATCTTTTCTTTAAACTGTGTGAAAGTCTATATACCACAACTATGGCAGCAAACTTTATTGTTTACTTCTTGTGGGTTTCATTTTCCTTATATATTTATACAGTGTAGCATATATGAAAGGAAGAATTCTATGAATAAAGTGAAGATTCAAGAAGATTACAAATGGCATTTATCTAATTCCAATATCTTTGTTGTCTTTATTGTAATTAGATAATATGAATTATCACTGTATTCTATAGATGAAGAAGCAGATAAGGTTAGAATCTTTTTTATCCTTCAGATTCCAGAACACTTACAGGAGGGGGACTCTGGTAGAGAGCTCATGAGACACAAGGAATTTACTTTTGACTTTTCCTTCTGGTCCGTCCTGCAAACGGATCCACATTTTGCTTCACAAGAACAGGTAATATTTATACTACATGGGAAAGCATGATGTATCCAGAAGTTCAAAATAATTCCAAGCAGCATATGGCTGAAACCCATTACCATAGGCCATAAACTTTTAAGTCCATAGCAATATACATGTGTGTTTAGTTTAGTACCTTGGTGGTTTTACTCAAAATGACTGAAATTTTAAAGCAGTACATTTTACTTTCATTTACATGAAATTTACATGACTTATCGATAACATTTATAATTTCTAATGAACAGGTGTTCAAATGTCTTGGTGTTGATGTTGTAACCTCAGCTTATGATGGTTACAATGCTTGTGTGTTTGCCTATGGACAGACTGGATCTGGTAAAAGCTATACCATGATGGGAAATCCTGTAAGTTTTAAAAGATTCAACATGAGATTAGGAGTGGATTTTTTTTCTATAACCAAGTTAACTTTAAAATTTGTAGCTACGGGGTTGGTGGGGGTTGGTGAGGGGATATCTTTATTCTTCATTTCATGATGAAACATGCAGTTTTGTAAAATTGTTGTATATGATGTACATGGCACCTGATCCCACCTCTGATGTTTTGGAGGTCCATGTTTGCTCTGCTCTTATTTTGTATTTTTATGGACTTTTGATCTTGAATACTGTTTGTTATCTTTACATGTTTCTTGAACAAAAATTACCTTGAAAAGTCCTGATGAATATACACAAGATATATTTTTAGATCTGTGTATTGCAGGGAGACCAGGGACTGATTCCTAGGATTTGTGAGAATCTGTTTTCTAAGATGACAGATGAAGACACAAATTACAGGACAGAAGTCAGGTAAGTGCTAACATGTGCTTATAGGAAGGTGTTTACAGGTACTGTCCAGTTGACACTTTAGATACATGTAAGTTGAAGAAAAGTTCACTTGGACACAAGGTTGTAAGGTTTATATTTTGTTGCTAGAAATTAATATCTTATTATAACCTCGAATCATGAGTTTTCGTGGCATTACGGTTGATTTGTAATAAAGTGCTTCAAGACTCAATAATTGAGATGTTTGCTATTTATCACATATACAAACAATAATTCTCCTCATTTTAAAATGATTTTAACTCACATATCATTTGTTATTTGTTCAGATGGTCATTGAATTCTTGCATAATTGCTCTTTCGATTTTTTTGATGACGTCATATGTTTTCGTGGTATTTATAAAACAAGTAAACTATGGAAATCTAGTCGGGCAAAATCCATCAAAATTTTACAGTGTCAAAAATACTAGTTAATTGACAAAATGATTACATCATTTGACATGGAAATTTATTTGTTGTTAATTAAGACCACATCTATCTAGGCGTGCCTAAGCTGTATTGCTAAATAATGTAAAAGTTTTCTCTCTCTCAAGAGTGGCCTAGAAGCAATTCTGTAAAGCTTTATTTGAATGTTTCATGTTTTAAAAATATAAATTCCATGTCTATTTAAAGAAAATAAATGTTTAATTCAATTAATTATCAATGGCACAATATTTTTTTTATCATATAACTTTTTAACTCCCCCGATATTTTCTTTGAAAATTATATAAAAAATGACGTTACTAGTTCACCGTACAAAAAATATCAAAAGTGGGAAATTCCAAATTATTGTTACATGACCGGTAGCTGTATAGACAGTTAACAGACGATGATGTGCAGGATCGCCGGGTATTAGTTTGTAAGTTTGGTATTCTAGTTCAAAACACGACGAATAAGCGTATATTACGCAAATTGTCAAATTTGCGAACTATGCATAACTCACTCGCTATATTCTATTTTGGCAAAGGCAGAAAGGTTTAACATTTGGTCATAAAACATGCACAGGGTTCCCCTTTATTAATAGCAAATATGACGTCATTTCGATCTCGCATTGTGCGATTATTCCTAAAAATAAAAAATACCACGAAAACGTATATACCACGAAAACACATGACGGGACGGTATGTAAATTACTTGAAAATGGGTGATTTTTCACAACATGGTTGGGTGATTATTAGCCTATAAGTGGAAATTTTAGCGAGGCACAAATATAGCTGTTTGCCCTCAAAAATTGGTATTTTATTTTTAGCAAGATTTAATTTTAGCAATTTTAAAACGCTCACTAAAGAAGATATTACAAAACACAATTAATTTTTATTAGCAATATTCAATTTGAGCCATCTCAGCACTCTCGCTAATAATGCCAAAATTAAATCCTTGCTAAGAATTTTGCTTATACAGTAATTACATGTACTGAATTCTGAAGAAGGGATGATGATGGTTTGTGGAATGTTTTTTGTAAATTGTTGAAATATTTTGACCAAGTATTTTTGTTGATGATGATAGTTACCTTGAAATCTACAATGAGAAGGTACGAGACCTGTTGAAGCAGCAGTCCCCAAACAAAGCAATGCACAGCCTAAGAGTACGAGAGCACCCGATAGAAGGACCATATGTTCAAGGTCAGGGTTCACAGTGTACTATAATTATAAACGCATGTATAACTAATTTCAACTTAATTAAAATTGAATGATTTTCTTGTAATCTTAGTCAGACTGAAATGTAAATTTCAAAAATTTGTCATGTACTTGTAGATTTGTCCAAGCATGTGGTCAGTGACTACTCTGATATAAAGGAATTAATGGACAGAGGAAATTCTATACGGTTTGTATCCAGATTTATCATTGTCATTATGATGAAGAGTAATAAAATATGTTGTTAATTTTAAAAAAGAATCGGTGTTCAAATTCTCATTGTACCAAGACAGAAATTAATTTTTTTTTTCTCTTTTTATCCTTTTTGACAGAACAACAGCCTCAACCAATATGAACGATGTCAGCAGTCGATCTCATGCTATCTTTACCATCGTCTTCACCCAGGTGAACTGTTTTAAAAGTAGTTATGAAGGAAGGAATAAAGCAGATAAAAAGATAACAATAATTATTTCTTTGCTGTAGAAAATTTGTATAATTGCATGCTAATGGCACTATCTAATATAAGAACAATTGAGATTTTCCTTATTTTATAATCTATAGTTTGCTGTAGATTCCCATTGATATGAAAGACATGTATTACTCACTTTGTGTTTACTTTTCTGAAAATATTCTTCTCTAGGATTCTTTACAAAACATTTTGTACATTTGATACATGAAAAATCTGTACAGTTAAAATCAGAATATGTTCTTGAATATCATGAGGAATCTACAGTGTGTAGGAACTGTTTACCTTAATATTATGTAGTACTTCCTTAACACTGCCCTTTATAAGCATGGCTTCTGTTGGTCTGTAGGCCAAGTTTAGTGATGACATGCCCTGTGAGATGAGCAGTAAGATACACCTGGTGGACCTGGCGGGCAGGTGTGTGTGTCAAGTGTTCTCTCTTTATTTCTTTCTTTTTTTCACATGACTCTACTTGCACAGATCTTTTATAATATATTCACTTTAGAAAACCAGCAAATTTGATAAATTTCATTATAATTCCATATCTGATAAATATTGTGACATTGTTTGAGATTTACTGTTGAAAGAAAGCTTTGATCAATATGCTGATGTAATGAGGAATATTTTTCCAGTGAGAGAGCAGATGCATCAGGGGCTACAGGCCAGAGACTGAAGGAAGGAGCCAGTATTAACAAATCTCTGGTAACATTGGGATCTGTTATCTCAGTTTTAGGTAGGAATTGTAGAGATTTTGTCCTTTTCTTTTAGACTCATTGCAGATTTTCTATAAAGTAAGCATGAAAATGTTAAATCGCGAATTAGGAGGTTAAGGATTTCTCTCAAAGAGTAACTTGTTTCTTTCCACAGAATTTGTAAAAAAAAAAAAAAAAAGTATACATTCATCATACATTTTAAGTAATTGATAAAACTTTGATGTTACCACTGTTTCAGCTGATATCTCAACCCACAAGCATGAGAAGAAAACCTTCATTCCTTACAGGGACTCTGTACTTACTTGGCTCCTGAAGGACAGTCTGGGGGGTAACTCTAGAACTATCATGATCGCAAGTAAGTACATGTTGTAGATTATAACATCATAAGGGATGATATGAGGGTTGAATGTGTATTGAATGGCATTGTTTGAGACTTGATACTATCTTGTCAGTTTATGTTTTCCAGCAATATCACCAGCAGATGTCAATTATGCTGAGACTTTGAGTACACTAAGATATGCCAATAGAGCAAAGAATATAATTAACAGACCAACAGTTAATGAAGTAAGGGGAAATCCATTGAAATCAAACCTATTCTTTAAAATGGAATTAAAAACAGAATTTATTATTTTAATGTAATTTTTCCATGCAGAGTGATAGCTTGTATTCATTTACTATTTTGTAGGATCCCAATGTTCGTCTTATCAGGGAGCTAAGAGAAGAGATAGCCAGGCTGAAGGCTATGATGGGAGGAAATATTGTACGTACAGCAGAGTTTACTATTGTATTTGATCTTGAGTGTACCAGGTATATGTTTACGATAGCCTGCAATGCTTACAACTTTTTCAAGTTTTGTACACTTTGAAGATAAACGTTGTAACCATGAAGTATACTAATGCATTGCAAGTTGGACAATTCAATTATTATGGAAAAATGAATGGATAGAGTAAAATTCAACTAAATTTATTAAAAAAAAAATGATGAGAACATAGAAATATTGACATGATGACATTTCTGGAAATTATCAATGTTTGTAAATTGTCATTAATTTCTGTTTGTAATTTAAGATAAACAGCTACAAAAAGAAGCAGAACCATTGAAATGTTGTTCTGTTAAACATAGTCATTCAATTTGAAAACCAGTGCATAATTTATGTTTTCACAGGATAGCATTTCCACCCCTAAAGTGCAAGAAAAATTACACGAGAATGAGGCTCGGGTTAAAGTTTTAACCGAGGAGTGGGCAGGCAAATGGAATGAAGCAGCAAAAATACTCAAGGTCAAATTTTAATCCAGGAGCTTCTGTAATTAAAAAATTTATATTACTAAATTATATCCCAGTGATAATTGTTGTTAACACAGAATTATTGTCCCTGTCTTAGGAAACTTGATGAAAGGTTTGACTGGGTAAACATACACATATGTTGAGTTGTATCAATTAATCAAGTTAATTGGTATGACATATACTTGTACTTTTATAAATTGTTAAATAGTTGGTTTACATTAGTATACTTATACTTTACATCTTGATTTATCAAATTACACTGGAACAATTTTCATGATGAGAAACCAGATAAATAAAAGAATTGGTTCATTTTTTCAGGATCAGAATGTGGCAGTTAGAAGAGAGGGGATGGGGGTGGTGCTGGACTCTAAGTTACCCCACCTGATTGGAATAGACGATGATATACTTAGTACTGGGATCATGTTATACCACCTGAAGGTAGGTCAGAGGTCAAGTGTACTCATCGTTGGCATTTAGAAAGTGTAAATTTTATTCATGTTAAATATGTGAATGTTTTAAAGCATTTATGTTTCATGTAGAGTTGGTAAAGAATTTGAGGTTTAGAAAATTTCAATTTTCAAGTCATAGATTCAATATGTTTGAATGATTTGTAGGCCAAAATTTCAATTTAGTAAGTAATTTTTCCAAGAAATTACACTAAGCCATGTTTCTGAATGATTTCCATTTTTGAAAAGATGGATATTCAATTTTCTTTTTTAATTTTCATTTTTATTTCTGTTTCTGAAAAATAGTTGTATTAAAATTGTTGATTTCATATTTTCTTGCATGGAAAGTACATGTATAATTCAACTGATAAATTTCTTGTTAATTTCTTGTTATTCATTTTATTATATTGAGTAATTCATATTTTATACACATGTTGTAAACAATCTTGTACATGTATTTTGACACTAATATCGCTTGGGGTGAGTTTTGTTTATGTAAATACGGACATGCACTTAGTAAACTTGGTAGCCCTCACAATAGGTGAAAAGAATTATTCAAATATGCTCTTCTCATCTAAATAGATTTACAGAATTGTAATTTCATATTTTGATTACAGGAGGGAAGAACTTCAGTTGGGAGAGGGGACGCTGAGGATTCCCAAGATATAGGTGAGAAAAACTGGTCAAAATAAACATCCATCTCATACAAAGCTCAGCATACTGCTGAACTTTTTCTCTCTGTATTTTGCCATGATCTCTTGAATCCTTACAACGAAATGACTCCTGTAAAGTGAGTATCTTACCACTGTTTTCAGTGATAGCTGGGGTGGACGTGGAGAGATACCATTGCTGGATAGAGAACTCAGAAGGGGAGGTAACTCTGTATCCAGTGGATGATGCTCTCTGTGCTGTTAATGGGAACGTTATTAATGAACCCACAAAATTAACACAAGGTAGGCAAAGAATTAAGTCTTTTTTCTATATTTTATTCCTAAGATTTCTCTAAATAAAAGAAATTGCAGGATGAAAATTAAATTTTTCATGAAATGAAGACTGTCATTATTAACAGGTGCTGTGATTTTATTGGGAAAAACCAACATGTTCCGATACAACAACCCTGCAGAGGCTGAAAAACTCAAATCAGAGCTGAAGAATGTAAGTTATAAAACCTTAAGCAATAAATAGGAATGTCACAAATTCTTTTCATGGGGAATGATATTATATTAGGTAAACTTTATATTTTTCAGAATTTTGAATGAGATTTGTTGTGTGTAAATAAACATTTTATGATTTGCACATGGATGATGCTGACCATGTAATATAAATTCTGTTTCAGTGTGGTTTGAGCCTTTCTAGGACTTCTCTGTTGAGTAAATCAATGTCTGATTTGTACAGATCTACAGAAAACCTCTCCCTTATGTCTGTTGGGTAAGCCACTTCATGTAACATTTCTGATCAAAGTCCTTCCCCCAATATTCAAACTTTATTCAGACTTTTGAGAAGATTCCTGTATTGCATTGTTAATGCCCTTTATTTATTGATTTTATGAACAGATTTGAATTAGAACATGCCCGTAATGAAGATCAACAGAAAATAGAGGAGAAAAGGTTAGATTTCTATTGTACAGTTTTCCCCTGAAAATTGAATTTATGGAATACAATCAAAACAATTATATAAAATTTGTAATATTTTGTTGATATACAATATAGGTTACAGATTAATTTACTGGAGAAGAAATACAGTAAGGCAGAGGAAGATCGACAGTCCAAACAATCACAGCTGGAGAGAGATCTGGAAGAGAAGCAGTATGAGTTACAGCGACTGGAGATCAGCCTACAGAAGGTACAGTCACAAAGAGATTGATACAGTGTAGTAGTGTTGTAATAAATGCATTGATTCTTTAATTTCATGACCATGTTCATGATATACTAGTACGGTATATATCTGTATACTTTAAATGGACCTATTCATCTTTCTTCCATATCTCTGTTTATTTTGTAGAAAAGGGAACAACTGCTGGATTCTCAAAAACACAAAGTTAGTATTTTGAAAAGAAGTTCTACAAAGTTGCTCTTAAATAAGAATAAAATTTGCTGTTTTTTTAATTTCTTAAAATTTCTCATGATGTATGAAATAAAAACATGAAATCTAAACCCTTTAGACAGTCCATATTGATGAAATGCTTAAGGAGCTTGATGAAAAAGAGAAAAAGCTGAGAAAAGAAGCCCAGGAGTCTATAAATAAACTTAAAAAGGTAAAGCATAAGATCAGAAGTGTCTGTATTTTGGAGAAATATTCACCATCACTTAATTATATGGTAGAATTCAGGTTGAACTTAAATTTTTGGAAAGATTTAAAATGGAGATTATTATTTGTAGGAGATAGAGGTGTTACAGGAGTCAGGGAGACAGAGGACAGCTTCTTCACAAGAACAGATAGATCAGCTGGTGTGTGAAGAGGCTGCTATAGAAGAGGAATTCCAGGCAGCCTCCAAAGATTTACAGGCACAGATCACAGCACAGCAAAACACACTGTCAAGGGTAGGTCAAATCTACTCAGATTTAGTTAGTGCCTATGTAGTTTGAAAGGAAAATTGTAACCCATTATGTGGCTTAGAATCTTGTTTAGTATGTCAGGAGTCAGATCCAGATGAACAAATTTTCACTTATTCTGCTCCTTGAAGCCTAGGAGATGACTAAGACAAACAAAACTTATTTTGTGCAAGTACATGTAAGTAAAATGATTTTTTGGTACCTTTTTTAGAGTGAAAAACTGGCTGAAGAAAATCAGGCTGATTTGTCCAGAATACAAGAGGAATTTAATTTGAAAAGGGATACAATTTTAGAGCAAAATGCTGAACTTAAAAACCTTTATCAAAAAGAACATGAATCATATTTGGAAGCTAGTAAACAATTCAAGAAAGAAGAGGAAGAGATGAAATCTAGGTGGCAGCGCCCCCTGGAGGATATAGCAGGATCCAATCAAACAATAGAGGAGGCATGGCATGACCTCAGAGAACACGAGGAAGAGTTGAGGAAGAAATTGGATCAGTGCCAAGATAATGAGGAACGAGACAAACTGTTAGTGGAACAAGATGAATTGGAAAAAGCTAGGGAATTGCTTAAAGAGGAAGAAGAAATAACCTCACACAAGGAAAAGTTGCTTCTAGACCAAATCGAAAAAGAAATGGAGAAATTTGAGGAGAATAGAGACAAGGTGCTTGGTGAGTTAGCCTTAAAAAGGGATAATATAGTTGTGTCAAAGGATGAAACTCTGTGTCATTTACACTCAGCCCTGAAAGAAAAGGAAAAAATCAAACACAAATTAAAAAGAGAACTTTCTCATTCTGAACATGAGATCGGGAAACTGAAATCTAGCTTACAAAGCTTATGTGAGGATAAGGATATCAGGGGAGGTGAAATTAAACAGAGGAAGAGATCACTTCAGGAGAATATGGCCTCAGGCCAAAAAAGTCAAGAACTGGCTGTAATGGATCTAAAAGCAAAGGTGGTCAAGATTGAGGAAAATCTCCAGGAAGAGTTACGCAATCTCCAAGCCCAGAGGGAGAGGTACTCCTTTGTTCTGTTTATAACCACAGAATTTTTAAAATATTGTAAATGTTTGTTAAATGTTCGAGAATTTTCATTCAAAGTGAGTTCTAGTATAGCTATTTTTAAAAGTTTAAGTAATTAATTTTCAAGTATTCAGCATGTCTATTGTCTAAAGTATAGTGACCTATTTTAAAATGCTTCTTTTTGAGAAATTAAAATGAATCATTTATTAATACATGTGTCTACATCTGAAAATTTAAGATGTATCTTGAATTGCTATCCTAGATTACTAAAACAGAAATCTTCTGAACTAAACACTACTGATATTGAAGATCCAACTCTACAAAGTCAACTCAAAGTAAGTCAATATTTGATTGTTTTTCTTTGTCTGCTATATTTTGTTTATTTGTTTATAAGATCATTAATTTATCATGCAATGTAATTTTTTGACGTAGTCTTAAAAGTGAAATAGTTCTCCTCAGTAATATATATAAATCTAGAACTTCTGGAAGCAGAAAAGAAATGCATTGAAAATGTCTAGATTAAAACATTTCTAATTGTCAATAAATATTAACAGGGACATAAATATTGTTTCATTTAGGAGGTGGAAGATCTAAAAGCTAAGCTGGAACTGACAGAACAAGAGCTGGAAGAGAGATGGAAGTTGTTTGATGAGCAGAGAAATTCTGAGCTTGACAAGATCGAGTTTGAACGACTCAAACTTCAGGAACTGGAGCATCAGGAAAGGTTGGTGGGAAATTCCAACATTCTTTATTTGAGTTTTTACAAAATATGGTTTTATAAAGACTACCTTTTGGAAAGTTTTGCATCCTTTCTGTAACATGGATGGTGTTGCACACATTCTGAAGGATCTTTTGATTTAAAAGGATAAACATTTTCTTGTCTCAGTATTTTCTGATATTTTCTCCTGATTTCCAGAATAAGATGGCATGAATTTGTGTAAGTGTGGTTTAATCCCCAGCCATAAGTTTGCTTTGGTTTTCAATCTTTGACAGGGTCCACAATTTATGTTGATGCATGTCATCATTGATTAAAGAAACCCCAGTGCATTTACATTTATATTGTACATGATTGAAGAATTTGGGAATAAAAAGAGTGATTCTTTAAGTAGCATTGTTTTACCATCCTAGCATGTTACTGAACCAAATAATGAATCTCATGCTTAAGTCTGAAAATTCAGTAGCTTTTAAAGGAAAATTATGTTGGAATTTTATATTATTTCATTTTAAATTCTTTAATTTTTGTTTTTATTTGGTGATGGTACAAAATTTGAGTTATCAGATAATTAAAAATTAATGTTTCAAGTCTTAACTGGTTTCAGATTTAATTCTTGGATGACAAAAGCTGTTAATGTAAGTAAAAATATTAATTGCATTCAATGATTTATTTTAGAATCAATGCTTTGGTGGAGCAGGAAGTTAAAAGACGGCTGTTTGAAGAGAAAAAACAGAGAGAAAACTTAAGGAAACAGGAGCGAGAGAAGGAGAGACAAGAGAGAGATTTAGAGATCCAAAAACTGAAGGAACAGCACAGCAGAGAAATCAAACAACTCAAGGCTAAGTTTGAGGCTGACCAAGAAATGTCCAGGTTAGTCTAATGTACAGTGTAAAACAAGTAGTTTCAGTCAATCCTTAGCTTAATTGGATAATAAAAAATATGTCTACTACTGTGTGATCAGTATTATGTTCGGAGGTCAAAGTTAGTGGGTTACCAAATAGAACTGGTTTGTTAGGAAGTAATTTTGTGGGTAACTTAACAGTATATACACGGAAGATTCAATCACCTGATAAGTTAATGTAGTAAATATTTGTAGGTGTAGGGGTATTTATACACTGAATCCACAAAAATCCACAAATCTACAAACTTTTCTTTCCCCATTAACAATGATGATCCGACAGTATACTTTGTATTTAATTATGAAAAAGATGTATTTTTTATTTACCAATTAAAAAAAGTGTCTATCGTTTTATCTGATTAACATCTTTTGACAATTAAACCTAAAATGCAGAATTTTGTTCAATAACTATTTTTCTTGATAGGTGAACTTTGATTTTTAGCTCACCTGAGCCGAAGGCTCAAGTGAGCTTTTCTGATCAAAATTTGTCCGTTGTCTGTCGTCGTTGTCATTGTCATCGTTGTCGTTGTTGTCGTCGTAAACTTTTCACATTTTCATCTTCTTCTCAAGAACCACTGGGCCAATTTCAACCAAACTTGGTACAAAGTATCCTTGGGTGAAGGGGATTCAAGTTTGTTCAAATGAAGGGCCAGGCCCTTTTCCAAGGGGAGATAATTATGAATTAGAGAAAAATTAATGGCGTTTTCAAAAAATCTTTTTCTCAAGAACCACTGTGCCAGGAAAGATGAAACTTATGGGGAAACATCGTCAGGTAGTGTAGATTCAAGTTTGTTCAAATCATGACCCCCGGGGGTAGGGTGGGGCTAAAATGGCTGATCAAAGTTTTACATAGGAATATATAGAAAAAATCTTAAAAAATCTTCTTCTCAAGAACCACTGGGCCAGGAAAGATGAAACTCATGTGGGATCATCCTCAGGTAGTGTAGATTCAAATTTGTTCAAATCATGACCCCTGGGGGTAGGATGGGGCCAATATGACTTATCAAAATTTACATCGGAATATATAGGAAAAATCTTTAAAAATCTTCTTCTCAAGTACCACTGGGCCAGGAAAGATGAAACTCATTTGGGATCATCCTCAGGTAGTGTAGATTCAAGTTTGTTCAAATCATGACCCCCCGGGGTAGGGTGGGGCCAAAATGGCCGATCAAAGTTTTACATAGGAACATATAGGGAAAACTTTTAAAATCTTCTTCTCAAGTACCACTGGGCCAGGAAAGATGAAACTCATGTGGGATCATCTTCAGGTAGTGTAGATTCAAGTTTGTTCAAATCATGACCCCCGGAGGTAGGGTGGGGCCAAAATGGTCGATCAAATTTTTACATCGGAATATATAGGAAAAATCTTTAAAAATCTTCTTCTCAAGTACCACTGGGCCAGGAAAGATTAAACTCATGTGGAATCATCCTCAGGTAGTGTAGATTCAAGTTTGTTCAAATCATGACCCCCGGGGGTAGGGTGGGGCCAAAATGGCCGATCAAAGTTTTACATAGGAACATATAGGGAAAACTTTTAAAATCTTCTTTTCAAGTACTTCAAAGCCAGGCTTCCTTATATTTATAGGGAATCATCCTAGCTCAGGAAGTGTAGATTCAAGTTTGTTTAAATCAAGGGGGGTGTATAATTACCCCCCCCCCCCCCCCCCCCCCAGTTTACTTTCAGTTCTGATCTGGTCTGTGTTTTTTCCTAGCCAATTGCTCAGGTGAGCGATGTGGCCCCTGGGCCTCTTGTCTCTGAAGTAATGTGCAAAAATTGTGTTTTCTTGTGACCTTCTGCCTAACGGAGGTACCATTCATTGACTCTTACTTTAATTATTCAGTTATGCAATCTTCTTAATCTTACAGACATTCCTCTATGACTTCTCTGCATACTCGCTCTAATCCCTATGGCTCTGGAATGGTGAGGAGACAGTTGTATTTGTGGATAAATATGAGTTTAATTTAAAGAAATGACATCCTTAATAAACAGATTAATTTTGTGTAGGTAGAAATGCATATAAAAGTGTATGAAGGTGATTTGCTTTTATGAATTTATAAACATTCTCTAATTATAACAGTCTCCTTCCAATGGATCTTCTATGGACCAACTCTCGAGGGCCAGGAGTTCCAGCTCTGTGGTATGTAGTCTTCAGAGTACACACACAGAAATAGGTATCCATAGGGAATCCCCTCCCCCCAAACACACACACATAAAATTAAATAAATAAATCATGATCAAGAAATTTAAATCCCCCACTTGTGATAAGAGCCAGTTTATAACAGAAATGAAATTTTTCCTTTATACAGTAGGTAATACATTTTACATAATCAGTGTAAGTTTTGGATTATCATCAGTAGAACTTGTTCCATTGTTGCAGACTGGTACAGGATCTTATTCTGGCAGCTTTTTAGAATCCTTTCGGATCAGAATCAGCATTCCAACCTACCGGCTTCACGGATATGGATCAGATACCCATTACGAGTATGAAGTCAAGGTAAATTCTTTGCAGCTACCTGTATTTTAATTGGGCATTTCAGTACAAGTGTAAACTCAAGTAATGGGGTAGTTTGAATTCATTTTAGTGTCTCTGTTTACTTTTCACTTCTTCTAACAAACAAATTACTGTATACAGGCATATTTTCGCCCCGTGTTATTTTCGCCCTTTTGAACTTGTGAACAATTTTGCTCCGTTTTAAATTCGCCCAGTCATAAATCGTGTAGTTCTGTTTTAAACTTTATTAGGTGTAATTTGAATTCGTCCCGTTTTGAATTCGCCCAATGAAGAAGAGGGCGAAAGGGGCGAAAATAAAACGGGGGCGTAAATTTCCCTGTATACAGTATTATTTATTTGATTATTTATTTTCCTGGTACCTGTAGATTGCAGTAGATGAGGATGTTTGGAGTATTTACAGGAGATACAGTAGATTTCGACAACTCCATCAGGATTTGAAAAAGAAATTTCCTGAGGTTTGAAAATACTTAAATGTCTTACGTGTACAAAATTTTTCTCATTTCTGTATCTTCTACATTCAAAATGGCATTATTAAGAACTATTTTTTTATTCCTGAAATCTGTTATAAATTAATTAGAACTTGTGCTAAATCAATTTCTTTTGAATTGATATATTAAATTTGTATACATAACTGTATTTATAGATTTCAGACGTACATAAATTATGAAATGTTTGTAGGTTTCACAGCTGGCCTTTCCACCAAGAAAAATACTATTTAGTCGATCTGATAAAGTTGTAGCAGAGAGGAGAAAACTGCTAGAGGTACATCTTTGATTCATATACTAAAATATTCCATATTCATTTGAAGTTAATATGCAAAAAATTAAAGCTTTTTCCATGCGACTGATACATATCGTTTACCCATTTTTCTGCTTAGGCAAAGATAAGTCATGGTGAGGTCGGGGTTTTTCATAGTATAGTTATCATTTTACAGCTTTACTTGAGGGGTCTAATTTCCATTTTCCTGAAGACTCCAAGCTGTCCACTTCACTCTTCTCAGTGTAAACAACTTACCAAGCAGGACTTGTGTGAATATGAACCCTTCTTTAAGCGAGGCTTATTTGAAACTGGCAAACACAGTACAACCTGAGCACCACAGAAAAAATACAAGAAGGAAAGTAGGCTACAAACAATTGATCTGTAGCCTTGAAATCTCCACTGGAAAAATTTAAAGTAAAAAGTTGCATAATACTGTAGAAATGTTGGATAACCAGCTATGTAGCGAGCATCGGAAATTGATTTTGTTGATATTATACTTGTATCAATTTATAAAAATGTTCATATTTTAATGCAGGTGTTTTATATGTACCTTACAAGTGTATTTTTTGCTATTTCTTATATATTCATTTTACCCTACTCTGAAGGAGAGGGGATATACTGTTTCACTTTATATGTCTGCATATGCATCTATCCATCAAATTTCCTTCACAATTTTCTCAGCAACTACTCATTGCAGGTGCTTGAAATTTTAGCACTCTTTGTCTTGGCATGCCATTTGTTGGGATTCATTCATGTTCAAATCCAATGTTAATTTCTTGTTTATCCATGTATCTGTCTGTACCAAATTTTTGTCAGTTTTCTCAGCAACTATTCAAGGCAGATGCTTCAAATTTTAGCATTTTCTTTATTCAAGCATGCCATGAGAGCTTATATTCACATCAGAGCAGGGGTATTACTAGTGAGCTTTGACTCAATGGCTTCCTGTGAACTCAGTTAGTGCTTAGTTCTTAGTGCTTAGTGTGTTTGAACATTTTCGAATTATATTTCTATTTAGCTAAAAGATTGCCTTCCTTACTACAGTATGTATACAATCTTTTCAAAAGCAAAAATTTTACATTGCTATTTAAACAAAATTAGGAATCTAGATTGAGTCAACCCTCATTATTCAAACTCCAATGGACCAAGCAAAAACGTTGAGATATCCAAGGCTTAAAGATATGGAGGAAAAATTCCTTTAAAAATAAGTGTTTTGAACTTTCAATTCATTTTGACTTATCCATGGAAATTTGAGATACCGAAGTTCAACTGTATATGTGTACATGTAACCTGTGTAAATAGGAGTATTGTTGTATTCTATGCACATCTGTAATGCACAAGGAAAAAAAACACATATCATTTTCTGAGACATTGTCAATTATTCCTGATCTCACCACAGCTATTGCTGTCAAGATTTTACATATAAATTGTATGTTGTACATGCATTTACCGGTATATCCCATGTCCTTAAAAATAAATTTAATGTGAATAAGGGATTTGTACAGAGTATAAATGACACTGAACTTGCCTTTAAGGTACATTTGCCCTTTGATAAGAGAGATAACTCCTGTCTATCAAATTGTCAAGAGGAAATTGTCAATTTTTTCTCTGTAAGCTACTTGTATTTCAAAAATGTCTGCATTTTAACTGTTAATTAACTTGATAGGATTAAAGCAAAATTTGAACAGAAAACGTTTCTTCAAATCAAATATATTTTATGCACTAGTTGTACCATAAAATGTTTTACCAGTTCTATTCAAAAAATTTAAGTCTATTAGTATTAAAAATGTTATATACATGTACATGTATTGAGCATTATTACTTTTTTCTCCCTTTGTAAACCTATACTTTTTCCATTGAGATGTAAATTTTCTCAACAATGTTTAAATATTTTATTTACTTGGAATAGTTTTAAAAAAAAAATTGAATCATGAATATACCGGTATGAGTATGGTACATAATATGACTGTGTGAAAAGATTTTTCTATATGACGTGTACACTGAATATGTGTTCAAATGTAAAATACTCACCATTCTCAAATGTATGTAGTCATTTTATGCATTCCATAAAGCCCATGTTTTATATTTTGTTAAATTTAAAATATTCTTGATGGTATGTGTTATCTAATGGAATATTAATAGGTGCATCAATGAGACAATGACATTAATGGATAAGCCTGATACAGCTTGTGTACAAGAATTGAGTGTTTCATTGTAAAGTATATTTATTAGGCCATGCAAAGTTAATTCCTTGGTTCTCATACCTTTTTTTTTCAAGAAATATGATGAGGGAGGGAGGCATTTTTTTTTCTTTTTTATTGCCCCTAAAACATGATGAGGCAGCTTTTTACATTGTACAAAACCCCAAAAAATGATGAGGGAGGTTATTTATTTTTTTTTATTTTATTGATTTAGCAATAAAAAGGGTCACTGAGGCACCCTTGGAAGAGATGAGGGAGGGCCTGAGAACCAAGAAATTAATTTTTTTTGGCCTTAGGGTATATATTTATTTTATTAGTGTACATGTATATACATTTAGTTTATTTATGAATTCCACATTTTTGGTGCTTCAGCTTTAAACCTATTTTCAGGGCAGTGGATGTTTTTCTGCAGTGTATTTTATAGTATTATTTTTTTTTTAACCAACTTGAAAGTTGAATTGTTTGTGTTGGAATAATAAAATATGGTGTGAATTGTCGTACTAAACTCCAAGTCAACAAAACAAATTCCATCTTTGATTTTGATAAGCATTTCATAGCATTACAATGTAGTTATTAAAATAGACAATGGTTGGTTGTACATTTTACAGGGGGACAATATGTATTGACTAGACAGCATTATTAATACACAGAACAAGGCATTTTTATACTTGGTCAGAAGTTTGTTGGATTCAGAGGGTAGCGTTTTTTTTTTGTTTTTGTTTTTTTTTTTTTTTCTTAGTTTTTCTTTGTTATGTTTATGATATGTTAAGGTACATTAATTGAAATGATTTATACTTATGGCTCTTCATCTTTCTCACCAGATCACTGAGCTCTCCTACTTTTCAAAAACTAATATTGTTATTGAGGTATTACATCAATTTCTGTTCACGGTTGAATATGCTAGAGTAATAATTGTTATATATATCATTCTTGATATAAAATTGAATAAAAAAATCAAAACATTGTCAGTTTTTGTTTATTTTTGTGATAAAAGATTGATCAATTTTATACAAAAAGATAACTTAGTTCAAATTAGATGTACATTTACTGTACATGTACATACACCTGAAACTTGAAATATTTGAACAAAAGCATGAACTGAACTTTTTACTAAAAAAAGGGAAACTAAATACTTTTCACTCTTTGTACAGTATTATAGAATAATACAATAGTTTACGTTGGTCATTACATTACTCATTATAAATGACAGCCCACAGAGTCTTTCAACATGCTTTTGTTACATCAAGTGAAAATGCAATGAAGTGAAGAATGCCCATTGTTGAAAAAATTCCCTGTCCTGTTTCTGAGTTCCTCAATCATCAATATCCTGCTCGTCTAAGTAAGATATTTCTCCTACACGAGCTGACCTGAACACATCCTTCAGCATCTCTTTAGGGATCTCTGACCCCCGGATCTGCAGAGTGTAGCACGCTGCCTCCACCTTCCTTAAACTCTGTCTCAAGGTGCTGACTTTACGGTTCATTTCCCTGGACACCTGACCCACGGATTCAAATCCTCCCAGCATGTTACGTAAATAAGCACAAACTTCATTGGGCGTGTCCAAGTCACCAGAGCCCACACTATTTATAGCAAATCTCATGAGTTCTCCTGTAAGGTCAGCCAGACCTAGAATGTACTCCGAGGGAGGAACATGTACTCCAATTGTCTTCTGAGAATTCTCTGTGTCACTAGAGGGCACTGTAAAATTCAAGTCCGACTGTACTTGGTCCAAACTGACAAGCGTCTTGCTTTTGAGGTAGTGGTAAAAGGCTACAGCTTCAATGTACTCTTGCAGACCTATTAAAACAGTATATAGAGAATTATTTATTTACAGCAAAGGAAATGAAAAGATGTGCAAACATAGCTTTCTACAGGGAATGAACTCAACAGTTTGACTTCAAATATGCCTGTATATAGCTCATAAGTAGATTAAGCATAAATTAAACTTTTTATTAAGCAACTACGATAGGAATTTCCCAAGGAGACAATACCACACCTGCGGAGTAGGCTCTCAGGAACTGGTATGGGTCCTCTCCATCAAGCTCTTTTGCCATTGGTAAAAACTTCTGTTCTTGGACATCTCTAATTTTGTTCCATGCCTGCTCCAGTTTCTCGTTATTTTTATCTGTCCTATTTAATAATACAATGGAGTATCAGTATATTGAATTTGGAGGGAATTGGACGAATCTTCGAGATATTCAGGGGTTCATACAATAAAAGTACTAGAATTCGTAATTAGTTGCCGACCATGCTCAAAGAATTAGTCTGGTATTGTTTATTGGGAGCTTCTTAATCTTTACATCTTCCTTGATTCATTTATGAAAATGATACAATTCACATACTATTGTATTTTTTCAGCTATTTTATCTGAGTCATTCAGTTAAAAAATAATGAGCATCCAAGAAATTGGAATACATTACCCTGAGTTTCTCTGCATTAGAAAAATGACTCTTTTGCTTTCGATTGTGACATCTCGACTTAGTTTCACCAGCCGTTCATGTTTATCATGGCGGAAGTCCAGATCCTTTTGATATTCTTGGAACTGCTGAATTATGTAATTATCTTTATCAATGTCTTTTTCTGAAAAGAAATTTTCCTTGCAGTATACAGAAACTGATATAAATCTTTTTTAAAAAAAAATGTTATAATCAAAGCAATCTTGTTGTAATACAAATTACAGTCTACCAATAAACAACAAGAGGCCCATGGGCCACATCGCTCACCTGAGCACTAAGGGTAGGAAAAAGAAGAAAATGGTTTTTTATTGTAAAGTTTAAATCCAAAAGTAGTCCCATGACCAATCATGGATTTGCTATTTTTTAGAAAATGATTTTTAAAGAATTTTCCTATATATGATCTTTGAAAACTTTGGTCGGCCATTTTGGCCCCGCCCTACCCCCGGGGGTCATGATTTGAACAAACTTGAATCTACACTACCTGAGCATGCTTCCATATAAATATGATGAATTATGGCTTTGTCATTCTTGAGAAGAAGATTTTTAAAGAATTTTCCTATATATTTCTCTGTAAAACTTTGGTCGGCCATTTTGGCCCCGCCCTACCCCGGGGGGTCATGATTTGAACAAACTTGAATCTACACTACCTGAGCATGCCTCCATATAAATATGATGAATTATGGCTTTGTCATTCTTGAGAAGAAGATTTTTAAAGAATATTCCTATATATTTCTATGTAAAACTTTGGTCGGCCATTTTGGCCCCGCCCTACCCCCGGGGTCATGATTTGAACAAATTTTAATGTACACTACCTGAGCATGCTTCCATATAAATATTATGAATCATGGCTTTGTCATTCTTGAGAAGAAGATTTTTAAAGAATTTTCTTATATATTTCTATGTAAAACTTTGGTTGGCCATTTTGGCCCCGCCCTACCCCGGGGGGTCATGATTTGAACAAACTTGAATCTACACTACCTGAGCATGCTTCCATATAAATATGATGAATTATGGCTTTGTCATTCTTGAGAAGAAGATTTTTAAAGAATTTTCCTATATATTTCTATGTAAAACTTTGGTCGGCCATTTTGGCCCCGCCCTACCCCTGGGGGTCATGATTTGAACAAATTTGAATCTACACTACCTGAGCATGCTTCCATATAAATATGATCAATTATGGCTTTGTCATTCTTGAGAAGAAGATTTTTAAAGAATTTTCATATATATTTCTATGTAAAACTTTGGTCGGCCATTTTGGCCCCGCCCTACCCCTGGAGGTCATGATTTGAACAAATTTGAATCTACACTACCTGAGGATGTTTCTCCATAAGTTTCATCTTTCCTGGCACAGTGGTTCTTGAGAAGAAGATTTTTAAAATATGCCACCAAATTTTCATTTATTCCCAATTATCTCCCCTTGAATGAGGGCGTGGCTCTTCATTTGAACAAACTTGAATCCCCTTCACCCAAGGATACTTTTTGGCAAGTTTGGTTGAAATTGGCCCAGCGGTTCTTGAGAAGAAGTCGAAAATGTGAAAAGTTTACAGACAGACAGACAGACGGACGGACGGACAGCCGGATGCCGGACAAAATGTGATCAGAAAAGCTCACTTGAGCTTTCAGCTCAGGTGAGCTAAAAAATTATTTAAGGGGGGACCTATGTTCGAAAAGTCTTTGTGTGAATGTTTCAAAACTTTGACATTTCTTTTCTGACTACTTGCTCTTAGTTTTTAGGTATTAAAAACAATACCTTTATATGCTTGTTTTTACACAAGAGCACGTGCAAAAACAGTGTGAAACGCTAAAAATAGATTATTTTCGGACATTATTGTTCTACCCTAAATATGCGCTAAAAAGAACCAAAAATGTCAAATCTCATTCAAAATCAACATATATTTAATTAATATGACTTGTATCTTTAAAATGAAGGCAAATTCATTGTAATTCATCTTGCATGAAACAAGAGGCCCACGGGCCTTATAGGTCACCTGAGTATTGTGCAACAACTTTCAAACAATTAAATTTGGTTCGTGTTTTAAAGCAGAGGCCATGAAATTCACAATTCACAATTTTGAAAGAGGCACCATTGCTTATCATAATTAAAGACTTAGCATGCTTACTCTATTTGTAATACGTAATATCCAGAGGAAGATTAGAGTAACATAAGAGAAAATGCACTTCCACTTTATAACCAGTTGTGCACCTCATCCCAAAGGAACCACTAAACCTGGGGCCACATATTTCAAAATTGTGCAAATTTATCATACAATGGTCGATTAATACCAAAGAGCAGATTTCAAAGCATTAATTTACTTTCAGACTTTGTACCCCCCCCCCCTCACCCCCGACCCCGGAGGGGGGGGGGCATAAAAAAACCCGTTTTGCTAGATGCAACTTTCTTCATCATAAATATATATATTTGGATCATTGGCATAAAATCCAGGAGCAAAGGAAAGATTTTCAAAGAATAAATGAATTTTCACTATATAACCAATAGAGCCCCGCCCTAACACCAGAAACCCTGACCCTGGGGTCATAAAATTCACAATTTTGGAAGAGGCACTCTTGCTCATCATAACTATGTACTTTGATAGTTTATTTAATACCCAGGAGCAGAGAAGAAGATTTTCAAAGAATTAATGCATTTTCACTATATAATCAATAGGGCCCCACCCAACACCAGAACCCCTGACCCTGGGGCCACAAAATTCAAAATTCTGAAAAAGGCACTCTTGATCAACATAACTATGTACTTAGTTAGTTTATTTAATACCCAGAAGTAGAGAAGATTTTCAAAGAATAAATGCATTTTCACTATATAACCAATAGAGCCCCGCCCTAACACCAGAAACCCTGACCCTGGGGTCATAAAATTCACAATTTTGGAAGAGGCACTCTTGCTCATCATAACTATGTGCTTGGATAGTTTATTTAATACCTAGGAGCAGAGAAGAAGATTTTCAAAGAATTAATGCATTTTCACTATATAATCAATAGGGCCCCACCCTAACACCAGAACCCCTGACCCTGGGGCCACAAAATTCAAAATTCTGAAAAAGGCACTCTTGATCAACATAACTATGTACTTAGTTAGTTTATTTAATACCCAGAAGTAGAGAAGAAGATTTTCAAAGAATAAATGCATTTTCATTATATAACCAATAGAGCCCCGCCCTAACACCAGAACCCCTGACCCTGGGGTCATAAAATTCACAATTTTGGTAGAGGCACTCTTGCTTATCATAACTATGTGTTTGGTTAGTTTATTTAATACCCAGGAGCGGAGAAGAAGATTTTCAAAGATTTAATGCATTTTCACTATATAATCTATATAGCCCCGCCCTAGCACTAGAACCCCTGACCCTGGGGCCATGAATTTCACAATTTTGGTAGAGGACTCAATGCTCATTACATTCATGCCAACAGTTTGCCTGCTTGATGTCCAGGAGTAAAGAAGAAGATTTTTAAAGATTGCAATAATTTTAGTGGTTTTGGCCCCACCCCTGAGGCCCCAGGGGGGCGGGGACCATAAAATTCACAATTTTTGTTCCCCTTCACCCATAGATGCTGTATACCAAATTTGGTTGAAATTGGTTCAGCGGTTTCAGAGAAGAAGCTGAAAATGTTCAATTGTTAACACACGGCGCACGACGCACGACACACGACGACGGACGAAAACGGATAGCAATAGGTCACCTGAGTTACTCAGGTGACCTAAAAATATAAAAGAGCACAATGTAAGTATCACCCCGTTTTTCTTGTCGTATTTTTTACAAGTCCGACATGCATAACAGGTAATATCTTAAGGGGGGACCTATGTCGTTCTACGTCAAAGCAGCGTTATGTGACGTCACAATAGCGACGTTTGTTTTTTCCCGCTGACTTTTGCAACTGTGATTATAGGCTTAACATTGTAATTAATCAATAACGTACACAGTTTACAAAAAGAAATGTTTTTCATCATTTATAACAGTTTTATTTGATTTATGGAGTTTTTTAATATTAAAATTCTCTTCCTTTGGTTGATAATTCATAGCAATTTCAGTTGTGAAGAAATACCTCCACGATATGCTGATATAAAAATGCAAAAAATATAAGATAAAGTTCAACAAAGACAACGGCTTAAATCAGGGAAATATGTTTAATTTTATGATTACCATGAATTGTATTTTCTGGATTAAACTAAGAAAATATTAAGAAATGAACTTGTACCTATATTTTATTGATTTATAGTGTATGTAGATTTTATTGTTTAAAGTCAATCCTAGGTTCTATTAGGTGTTGGTTGTTGACGGGGAAGAGGGGGGGGGGCAGAATGATTAGAATGAAGAAGAAAAGAGTTTATCTGTTTAAATTCTTTCTTATCAAAACAAAATACTCGTTTTTTGCAAAATAGATTTATATTCAGATGTTTGTCAGTGCTAACTTTCCCTTTTTTTAGTGCAGAAAGGTCAATATTTATGACAGAAGAGTACGAAAATAAAAGAAAACGTCATATTTCTCGTTTATTATATCATAAAGGTATACTTTTTTCTTTGTTAAAAAAAAGAGAGGCGTCATTTCTTTCAAAAAATATTAATTACAACATTTTCACACAAAGACTTTTTAAGATATTACCTGTTATGCATGTCGGAATTGTAAAAAATACGACAAGAAAAACGGGGTGATACTTACATTGTGCTCCTTTATAATTTTTCATGCGAGATGAATTGCAATGAATTTGCCTTCATTTTCAAGATACAAGTCATATAAATTAAATACATGTTGATTTCGAATGTGATTTGACATTTTTGGTTCTTTTTAGCGCATATTTGGAGTAGAACAATAATGTCTGAAGATAATCTATTTTTAGCATTTCACACTGTTTTTGCACGTGCTCCTGTGTAAAAATAAGCATATAAAGGTATTGTTTTTAATACCTAAAAATTAAAAGCAAGTGATCAGGAAAGAAATATCAAAGTTTTGAAAATTTCACACAAAGACTTTTCGGACATAGGTCCCCCCTTAAAAAGTCTTTGTGTGAAAATGTTGTAATTCATATTTTTTGAAAGAAATGATCCATTTCTTTATTTTAGCAAAGAAAAAAGTATACCTTTATGATAAAATAAACGAGAAATGTGACGTTTTCTTTTATTTTCGTACTATTGTGTCATAAATATTGACCTTTCTGCACTAAAAAAGGGGTAAGTAAGCACTGAAAAACATCTAAATATAAAGCTATTTTGCTAAAAATGAGTATTTTGTTTTGATTAGAAACAATTTAAACATCTTTTCTCTTTCATTCCAATCATTCTGTCCCCCTCAATTTCCCCGTCAACAACCAACACCTATTAGAACCTAAGAATGACGTTAAACAATAAAATCTACATGTACAATAAATCAATAAGCAAATATAGGTACAAGCACGTTTCCTAATTTTTTTCTTAGTTTTATCCAGAAAATACAATTAATGGCAAACATAAAATTAAACATATTCCCTGATTTATTCCGCTTTCTTTGCTGAATTTTATCTAATTTTTTTGCACTTATATATCAGCATATCATCGAAGTATTTCTTCACAACTGAAATCGCTGTGAATTATCAACCAAAGGAAGAGAATTATAATATTAACAAACTCTATAAATCAAACAAAACTGTTATTAATGATGAATAAATTTTCTTTTTGTAAATTGTGTAAGTTATTGATTATTAACAATGCTATGCCTATTTCACAGTTGCAAAAGTCAACAGGTAAAAACAAACGTCGCTATTGTGACGTCACATTACGCTGCTTTGACGTAGAACGACATAGGTCCCCCCTTAAGAAGTGTACAATGGACCAGAACAAAGCATTATTTATCAAGTACAAAGTGAATTGTACATGAAAATTTGGTAGCCCTGTAAATTCTAATATTGTTGCATTTTCTTTTGGTTTGTGATTTTTTCCCGGAGAAGAAGAGATTTTTTTGATTTTAAGGTAGAAGCTAAACATGACAAAATGCCTATCCATGTCGCCAGACACAGATTATTTTAATTAATATATTTACATTAAAGGTTTTTTTTAATATACTGTGAATGGAGATTTATTGCACTCAAAACACCATAACACAGAATGGGGGTCAAAAGGTTTAAGCATGCCTTTTGTTTTGACATCACAATTTTTGAACGCTGAGGAAGCTTCTGCAACGTTGTAAGCGAAAATCAAACAATCACATTGTCCAGAAGCTGTTACGTTGGCTCTCCCATTAACTATAGCTTACATCGAGATGGGTTTTAACATTGCAATCAAGGCAGATGCTTTAAAAATGTAAATAAGAAATGAAATAATTTAAAGAGATGTCTCATAATTTGTTTACACACACTGTGCCAATTAATTGCCCAAAGTCAGGATCAGCTAATGGAAAATCCTGTAGACAAATAATTAAATAATGGACAAATGAAATAGTGTTTTAATGAATCTGGAGTCTCTCACTCTCTGATTGATAGAGACTACACATTTGCAGTGTCTGCATACGCATGCTTTTCTTTAAACTAGCATCAATGAAACCTATGATTCAACGTCATCTCACCCATGAAGAGTTATATACTTTGCTAACAATAAAACATTGAAGAGAAATTAGTGGTATCGAAATTATTACCCGTTTTCCCAGTTTTGGGTTTCTTTGCACAAATTTTTTCCATGAGGAAAATTTTTAAATGAACCGCGAACCCGACCTACTTTCGTTTTCAGTATTGACTACAACAAAAACTTTCCAAAATGTCAAAATGAAATGAAATGAAACAAAACAAAATGACATAAATAAAAACAACGAAATAAGATAAAACAAAATATATGATAAAAGAAAATATAATTATACCCCCCTAATAATAATAAGGCCATGCAAAGTTAATTCTTTGGTTCTCAGGCCTTTTTTCAAGAAATATAAGAGAGGGAGGCAGATTTTTTTTTTAAAACTTTTTAATTGCCCCCAAAACATGATGAGGTAGCTTTTAACATTGTTCAAAACCTCAAAAAATGATGAGGGAAGTGATCTATTATTGATTAAGTAGCAATAAAAGAAGTCAATTTAATGAAGCACCCTTGGAAGAGATGAGGGAGGGTCTGAGAACCAAGAAATTAATTTTTATGGCCTAATAATAAATATGTTAAAAATAAAATAAATAAATTACTGAACCTCAAACTTTAAAGTTAGTAATTCCAATTTAAATCTTTGGTTTCTTTTCTAACTTTACGTTTTCCAACTTTAAAGTTAGTTATTACAACATTAATGAGTTTTCACTTTTCAAACTTTAAAGTTGATAATAACAGACATTAGTTAAGTAACAGTTGGTCCTTTTAATTTTAAAGTTGTTAATTATTCTAATCTTAAAGTTGTTCCTCCAACTTTAAAAATCTTGGCTTCTCCAACTTCAAAGTTGGCTTTTCTAGCTTTGAGTTTTTCTAGACTTTCCTCTTTTTTTCTTTTATTATTTAATACCCAGGTATTATCTTCAGTCTTATTTTATGCAAATAATTATCAAATACATTGAAAAATAATGTGCAATACTTCAAAATAGTTCAAATGTTTATATTTAAATCACTCCTAAAAAAAAAAGACAATGTAAATCACTCCTAGGAAAATTAAAGACAATGCGCATGTGCTTGATTCACTTCAAAGGGAAATATGCTTTTTCAAAGGGTGTCACTGATTTAAGAGATTATAACACCTGACAGCTAAAAGTTATCAGCATGCGATGCCATTTTAGTAATGGAATGGGAGATGATATAAAATCATTTTGGTGTAATGGAAACTGAAACCAGAAGAACACAACATTGATATCAAGTGAAATCTATGCAGAAGAACCTACCATGAATGATATATGCATTTATGGCTCCAATGCTGAGACAATTTGTAAACGCAGACTAGAATCATTTTTACAAAGCCATAATATTCAGTCATGTATAAATCCTGGGAAATTCTTGTACAGGTGTATATCAAAGAAAAGTCATAAGAATATTAATCTTGAAATTCTTCTATTTTTTTTTTTCCATAAAAAATTATTCGTGTACATTTTCATTTATAATTCAAAAAACACATGTGTTTAACACATGAAATTACGGTAAACAAAAATCAGCTACAATAGTCTACATGTACATGCACTGACATGGACTTCAAGAATTGGATTGCTAAATTAAAATAGCTGTGATCAATCAGTCTGCACTATACATATCAATATGCCTGGATCATATACATGACAGTAGTTAGAGTGTACCAGGAATGGACAATTTTGCTTCCTTTTAAACATAAATCATGATATCCATTATAAAGTTACCTGTACATGTTTTAAAGCAAATGAAAGAAAAATCATTTCTGTGTGAAATTATTAAAAGCATGTTAACTTTGTTATAAGACATGATTTATATCTTGGTACCATTAAAAGCATCTTCTTTTGATTTATCAACGTACAGTAAGTACAATGTTACAAAAATCTGATAACTTCCGGTATATACCCTTGGTACTTTGCAGTTTACACTGACACTAAATCAGAAAGATTTCACTTTTTTCCAAACAGTATTTTAGATTTTAAAACTCTTGGCACATGCCTAATAGTTAGTGAGACTCTAGTGGTTCTGTGTAATTCTGTCACTGACTTATCTATCTCACACTTGTCAATGTTAGCTATTGATTCACTGATTCTGTCTGTAGTCCGTTCACTTATTCCGTGTAAATACGTCCTATACATATCATCACACACAAACACAAGACTTCTTGGTTCCAGCAAGATGGAGGTTAGAAATCGGTCTTCAAAGGAAGTTTCAGGCTGGAAAATACCAGAGAAAATGCTTTTAAAAATCTTCTATAACAAAACCAATATAAATTTGAGGCATTTTCCCACTAATGCTTTATACAAAGCTGCATTTCATTTATACAATTTTGAGCATTTTGCAAAAGCTGCTACATTTAAGATTAAAGTACATGTATAAAGATTTAAATTTTCTAAAGTCAAATAATGTACAAGAATATATTGTTTTGTTAGTTCTTGTATCACATGAATCGATAATTTTTTAAAAGAGTGCTAATGTGTTTTTTTTAATTACATGTAATAAAACTGTAATTTCTTTTTTTATATGTACTTTAGCTTGACTTTACAAAAGATCATATTTTTTGCAAAAGATTAGATTTATTTTACCAGTTTCAGGAAGATTTACAGAAAGGTAGCAGTTAACATACCTTTTCATCACATGACTGATTCTCTGATTTGATTGGATGATAGAACTCCAGCAGTGTATGAGAACCAAGACTTATTGTGGACACAACTGGGAAGAATAGAGAGCCATCCTCATGTGGCTAAAAAGGCAAAAACTTAAAATCATTATATTTCTCAACTTAATTGTCAATACATGTATAGATGCAAAAGATGATTAAACTACCTGAATTAGGTTACAATTTTAAAAAAAAATGTCTGATTAGTAGTGTAAAAGGTAAAGATGTAAGACATCTGATATCTTTTATATTCCAGAATCATTACCAGAAGTCTCTGTTGGGACTGTAGCTCTACTGGTTTGTACTTTTAACCAAGAAAGAAAAAAATAGCAGTTGGACTTGAAACTTTGCAACAGCAATAAATAGAATAATTTTCCTTGATTAAGTTTCTTTTTCAGGCAAGATTGCAATCTCTCTAAAGCTGTAGGAGGATAGCCGTTTAAAAGAAATTTACAGAAAATTCTGATTTGAGTAACCATGGCAACATTGTTATTGAAACCGATAAAAGAATTATGTGTCTTAGTATAGCCTACTTGCAGGGTTCGACACTAACGCTAGCCCGCTGGCCCGGGACAACTGAATACTGGGGTCGGGCTACCAAACATGTCTTTAAACTTGTCCTGCAGGGCTACAGTAAATTTAACCAATTACTCACTAAGAGCAAGAAAATAATTATAATTTACACAAAATATATCTGATAATTGTTAATTTTATTTTCAAACATGTCTTATTATCATAATTATTATTTTTGTAAGTCAAAATGTAAACATCAAATGTGATTCGAAATACCTAAATGATTATAAATATGGAATTTAGAAAAAATGTCTTAGGTACAATCATAGAGTGACATATAATTTTTACCCAAAATAAAGCCAGAATGCAGGATTTTGCATCTCTATTTTTAAAATTTCCCGGGGGAGGCCCCCCGTACCCCACCAGCAGGAGGGGGAAACCCCCTCCCGCACCACCCCCTCGTCGCTTCGCGACTAGGCCACCAGTCTTCGGCTGTTGGACAAGTAATACATGAACAGGGCTAGAAGAAATTAGACATGGCTAGCCCTGCTGACAACTATGGTTTTAAAGTTAGTGTCGATCCCTGACTTGTGTGCCAAGATATATTGAATACAGACCAAAACTGTTGGAGGAGTAGCATTTTTGACAACTAGACGAACAGAAGATGGACACCTTACTCTGACAAGAAGAGCTAATAAGATTTAAATGAAGGCATCTCAGACTTTGTATTCAGCACATAAGCAACAAGTTGATACCATTATTCCTTGCCCAGGTAGATACTCATTGACTAGGACATGATTTGGATGTTTGTTGCCATATAATCCAATGGCAGCAACTTTTTCTGTGTAGATTTTTAACCACTGAAAACAAAAAAAAAAATAGCTGCAGTATTGCAATTGCTTCATAACATTTTGGCCTGTTTATACAAATATATTTTCAGAATTGTAAATATAACTTTAAGTTTTATTTAAAGTAAAACAACCATTTACTTACCTTAGGAATCTCTTCTGCCACCATACCCTTGGGGTGAGGCAAACCACCTATTAAAAAAAATCATAGCTCAGATCTGTGAGATCCATTTCTGTAGAAAATAATATGTTCTTCTACAATAACATTAGACAGATTTTCTACCGTTCTACATGAGTTTTTAAGGATTAATAACCCTTACTTCAAGATCCTGTTAAAAAAAAAAAAAAAAAAAAAAAAAAAAAAAAAAAAACTGTCCCTATTGAAAACTTGTTTTCCTCCTTAAAAAAATCCTAAATTACAAGCAATTTCAATTTTCTCCTGCTTTTTGTAATTAAAAACTTGAATTTTGATGTTTTGGTAATTCATATAGATATGAATAGGGAATAAGCATTCAATATAACCTTATTCAAGGGTATTAAAGTTAATAATAATATAAAACATCAGTTTTTTCCTAAATTTTGCTGTATTTTTATTCCAAATTCCAAATACCCTTCCAAAAGGGTACAGAATCTTTTACCAAAAAGGATCAATCAAGGCTGGTTTGCAGCTAATTAAATGTATCTTCTCAAATACAAGTGTTTATTTTTAAGAATATTTCTTATATAAGTATCTCCATTACCCATATATAAAGGAGTACTTGCCCCAGTTTTGCAATCTTCGGTTGGATAGTTGCGTCCACTTGGGTTTAGGTGCAGAGTTAACCTGATGTAGAAGATATTCTTCCTCCTCTTTGGTTATAAAATTTGGAATATAATAGATAGTTGGTGGTGCCTAAAAGGAATCAAAGGTAGTGCACATTATATAATAGAAGTTTTTACTGAGAATCAGAGATTCAGGCCAGGGGCATATAGTTATTTGGTTTGTCTGTAAAAACTTTTAATAACCTTCAATTTACCTTGAATGGTGGGTTTTAGAAATTTTAAAATTTCATGTGTGCATTCCTTGTGACAAAAACCTTTCTTTTGCTACCATTCTTGACCTATAAGTCTGACCTTTAACCCTGTCCTTAACTGCTATTTTTATTTTCCATACAACAGTGTACAAATTGTGCAATACTTTTCAGTGGATAACAACAATTTTGAATGACCTCATGACCTTGGTATTTGACCTACTTTATAATACTTTAACCTTGTCCATAACTTATGAAAGGCTGGTGCTTCGACTCTATATTTCATATTATTTCATACGTCCCATGACAAAATTAATGTTACTGGCCTCTTTCCCACAACTTTTGACCCAATTTTGTATAACGTCAACATTGACCTTGACCTACTTTTGCAAAAACTTTAACATTGACTAAAACTGTTGGTGCAAAGGCTGACATACACGTATTTTAATTTAATGTTCCTTGTGACTAAATCAACATTTTTTTGGTCAAGACCTTGACCTCCTTTTAGGGAAAATAATCAACCTTGACCATGAGCTGCCATGCAGTGTCATAAGGGGTCATCAGTGTTATACACATACCATATTTGTGTTGTCTGAAACATGTTGAATCAATGTCTCCCTAATGAAAGGGTGCTGATTCTTCGAAGTAAATATACTGAACAGTTTAACATGTTTAACAGTGAATAGGCCTATGGTGCTTGTGCAGACGAAATATTGAATGTCATTCACTTGTCCATCGCTTTCATTCAGACCCCCCCCCCACCCCCCCAAAAAAAATTATTGACACAAACAGAAACTGTGACATCTATTAACAAAGAACCTATACCCATGTATACCTGTTCAACTCTGTACTTCTCTAACTCGTTCATGTCAAACACACCGTCACACGACGGAAACCTGCAGCAAAAAATCAACAAATTTCTTATCGCTTTTCTGATTGGTGAGAATGGGGATATTATCCAATGAAAATATCTGTTTCATTTGACTCACTGGTTGAAAACAATGCAGCAAATCGAGACGATGAATGTGAAACTCAAACCTGTTGAATTAAAATCCTGAGTAAAATAGTAGCCAGCTTCACATATTGCAAAGGTATACAAATGTAGATTGTAACTCGGTAAGATCGTGCGATATGGCGCAGGATGAACAAGTGCTCGAAGTAGTGGGTTATTTATCTTTAACTCGAATTTTCTCTGGAGATGCTCTGTGTTCATCACACAGGCATTTAAATACACATGCTCACTTTTGATCTCAGTATTACTGGTCCCTCAACACTTTTGTGTGATATATTGTCTTGGTTGTGAATTATGAAGATTTTCAAGAAATATGATGCATAATGCAGAGTGCACAAAAAGTCTCCATTATAAATCACATTGTATTAATACCTGTAACCAGAGATATTGAAGGTACCACAGGCCTAATACTTTTATGTGCTAGACCCAGGGACCAGAAATTTTCCTTTCTGCCTGTAATGGTGTTAACCTGCTATAATGGTGTTAACCCAGTTATTCTGGTTCCCCTTAGCCCTCTGTTATGGAAGAAACCCAAACCCCTTTCTAAAAATTGTTTTCCTTATATTTAGGTTATTCAGTTATTGACATTAGAGATTTTCTGTCTTTCAGATGGTTAAAACAGAAACTGGGACCACCAAAAGGTTACCAAGACACCTGAGACATGAGGACATTCCTTCCCACACATTTACTCCCAGGACTTACCAGGTAGCAACAATGAAAAGTGATTAAATGAAAAAGACGTACTTAGCTTCTTAACATTACATAGCAATATATTTTCAAGTTATCCCTTTTTCCTTCAGAATAATGAAAACATACACACTGTCATCCAATAGATTTAAATTGTTAATGAATGTATTTTTTAAGAGTAGAAAATTATGACTGTTCAGTGAAATTTACTCACTTAATGTTTTAGGTGGAACTCCTTGATGCAGCATTGCAGAGGAACACTATTGTTTGTCTGGGATCAAGTGCAGGGAACACATTTATTTCTGTGATGCTTTTAAAAGAGTTTTCCAGTGAGCTTAGAAAAGAACTACAAAATGAAGGAAAAAGAAGTGTAGTCTGTCTTAGCTCAAGTAAGTTTCCAGAGCTTTAAAAATAACATTTCACCAAATTTAATTAATGATAATATATTAATCCTCAGTGTATGATAACATTTTTTTTTTCATGACTGTTTATAAACAAGGATGTTGTTAGTCATGGTTTCACTGCAATTGTTGTTATTGATAATGCCTCCTTTTTTTGCAGATGATGCTATTCAAGAAATGTCACAAGTCATCAAACATCACAGTGATCTTGGTGTAGTCCCATTACCAGAAATGTTAGAAGACAAGTCCAAATTAAGGAAACTGCTTAATGACCATCAAATACTGGTAACAAAGCCATCAGTGTTCAAAGATTTACTGCTGCAAAATATCCTACTGCCAGCTCAACTCAGTCTAGTCATCTTAGAAAACTGTCACCTTATTCTCCAAGAAGACCATCCCTACCAAAGCATTATGAAAAAGATAAATGACAGTGTCCCAAAATCATCTTCCCCAAGAATCCTCGGGCTGACTTCTTCATTCATAAGTCAAAAATGTCAAGATCCAGGGGAGCTGGAAAGCATCATTAAGTCATTAGAAGACGGTCTTTGTGCCAGGGCAGAGACGGCCACGCTAGTTATAGCAGAGAGGTATGGGATTCGACCCAAGGAGAATCTGACATACTGTGATAACTACGAAGATGAGACCGGCACTCTGACAATGTTAGATGATGTGTTAACTAATGCGCTGGACTTTCTGAAGGAGTGTAACATGGAAGATGAAGAGGATGATGACCGTGATCCTAAAGACATTCCTATATTTGTCTTCACCGAATGTCTTAATATTCTTTACACATTAGGCCCATGGTGTGCATCCTGCATAGCAAGCATGTTCATCAACCAGATAGAAAAGGTGGATAAACATGAAACAGTTCCAATCCATAAGAAATTCTTGAGATATTGTTTGACACAGTTAAGAATAGTGAACACTTTGTTTGAACAAAACTTTACACCTAATTATGATGTAGAAGAATTGTTACAGTATTCCACACCTAGAGTTTATGAATTGATTAATCATTTACGTAAATACAAGCCAGAGTATGATTTCATGATTGTGAGTAGTGGGGGTGACATGGACGGGTTTATGGGAGGTGGGGAGGAGGGGGGTCGGGACGGAGACAGTGAGGATGATGAATCAGAGATGTCTGATGATTCGATGATAATGTCGGATGAGGAAACATCTGATAGGTCATACAAAGGAAACGTTCTCCATATTGCTGTTAAAAGGGAACTTGATAGTGAGAGCCAGCAAAAAACTTTAGATCCTTTGAATTTGGACAATGAAAAATACCTGTGTGGCATTGTCTTCGTTGATCATCGCTATGTCGCCTTGGCCATCAATAAATTCTTAGAAGAAGTGTGTTCCTGGGATGAAAATCTATGTTTTGTGAAGAGTCAGCATTTAACTGGTCAAGGGTTGAAAGACAAGAAATCCAAGAAAGGGGGCTGGAAGAAACAAGAGGAAGTTCTGAGGAAATTCAGGCTACAAGATTTGAATTTGTTAGTTTCCACAACAGTTTTGGAGGATGGAATAGATGTTCCCAAATGTAACCTCATTGTGAAGTTTGACCCTCCTCGAACTTACAAGTCATACAGTCAATCTAAGGTGAGAACGTACAAGCAGTTTTTGAAGACAGTGATAATCGGTCATGGAAAATATGAGAATCGATAGATTTTATTGTACTGATTTTAAATATGGTAAATCTATTTTTATTTATGATGTATTATCAATTCTTTTGATTTAGGGACGAGCTAGGGCTAGAGATTCGGAGTATGTTATTCTGGTTGAGGAGAACAGAAGAGAGGCCTTTATAAAGGATTATAATGTGTTCAAAGGAATAGAGAGTGTAAGCTGGGACTTCATAATGAAACTGTCATCTCTATTTCCAAAACTTTTAAGAAGTATACAAATAACCATTACATTTTTGACACATTTTGACTTAGTTAGCATTTCATGTAGATTACCTGTATTTAAGATGTTTAAAATTGTTAAAAAGGAAGGTACATGTACCAGATTTTTTGCAGTTTGTAATTTGATAATGAATGTACATGTATGTTAACCTATTTATTTGTTTTTCAGGTGTTGGTAGGCAGGAGGAATGAGGGTGAGGAGTTAGAGGATGAAGATCATCCTTGTGAGGAATTATCCTCATTGTTACTTCCATACATTCCAAACGCTGATAATCCTCAAATCTGTGTTACTATGGATACAGCTATTGCTTTTGTCAACAGGTTCAAATTCAATCAATTGTGAACTTTCCATGACAAGACTAGAAGTTAATTAATATTTGAATTAATGGTTAATTTTACCATGTACATAAAACGATACAATTAGTGCATTTTGTTTTTATTTGAACTTTACACACATCATGTAGGTATTGTGCGAAGTTACCCAGTGATGCCTTCACCCACCTGACACCAAAGTGTTCAATGCTGGAGACCCTAGGGGAGGAGGGAACCTTTTACACTGCCACCCTGAGTCTCCCCATTAACTCCCCTTACAAACACCCCATCCAGGTAGGAAACAAACTACATGAGTCAATAGGCAAATTTTGTGTTTGTTTTTATACCTGCAGTAATTGTTAAATATTATGAATCACCAGCCCCCCCCCCCACCCCAAAAAAATCAACTCTTCTCTCCCACCTGTTTAAAAAGTAGTGAAGTTAGGACGAATTTTGATTTAAAGCAATATGAGCTGCATTTTTGAAAATTTTATTTTGCTGGTAAAATGTGTTTTTATGATTAATCTGTATGTAATCTAAACCCTTATGATCATTAAGACCAAAATAAAGTTTTAAAATGTTTCAAAAGAAATATTTCTGTACAACCGAATATACAGTATTATATAAGAAATCATTATTGTGCAGGACGACAATAATTCAATTTTGCTTCAATCAAAGCTTATGAAAAGTTCTTCAATAGCAATATGAACAACAGAAGTTTATAAACGTTCTATTTTCCTGTCATTGAAATAGTAAATTACAAATTTGAAATATTTTTTTCCGATGTCAAACATGCAGCTCATATTGCTTTAAAATTTTCCTCATTCTTTTTGCAGGGAGAACCAATGCCGACAAAGAATCTTGCCAAGAGAGCTGTGGCTCTGAAGCTGTGTGAATGTTTACACAAAGCAGGTAATATCTGTCTAAATCCGCAAATACAGTATTAAGAAAGACATTAATCATGCTGCACTTCCAACTGATACAATATTAATTTTGTTAACTTTTAATCAAAGGTGAGCTGGATGATCAGCTGAATCCTGTGGGTAAGGAAGTGTTCAGCCTGGAGGAGGAGGAGGAGATGTCAGAGGTGGAAGATGGGGAAGATTTCAGTGGGGAGGGAAGACCAGGCACCACCAAGAGAAAGCAGTACTACTTTAAGAAGGTAATCAGAATCATATTAAAACATATCCATAAGTTAAGCTTTTTAAGGTTAGCTTTTGTGATGGAGATTAAATAATGTTCATACGGCATAATGAGAATTTTTATTTTCATCTAAAACTACTAAGCAGAGAAGTTGATATTTTAAAAGAATTCAAGAAAACTTCATTGAACTTAATTTTTCATGTATTGAACTGTTTTATACATTTGTAGTTAATTTTCTGAGTTGCAAAACAAGTAGAGACAATTTTCATAATTTTATTTTAGTTAGCTTCCTCATTATTAAAAAGTCATCCCACAACAGAGAAACGCATCTTGTACAGTATAACACTGAATCTGAGCAAACCCATCTCTGATGAACAAAACACTCGGGGTCGGAAAATTTGTGCCCCTGAGGAAACTTCAAGAGGGTTTGGAATTCTTACATCTAAACAGATTCCTCAGGTATGATATCAAGTCAATGCTTTGTTAAAATTGATTCTACTTTGTCTTATATACGAAGAGAGAAAAACAAAGCAAGTCCTCTCATAGCAAAATAAAAATTTACCACAGTCATGTCTATATCCTGCAGAGTGAGAATAAATGAATTTTTGCAAATGCAAACATATTTTCTGGTCATTTATTCAAAAAATTTTGGAAATTTTTGATTAAAAAACATTTTTTTTTCACAAGGTACCAACATTTCCTGTATATACAAGATCAGGGGAGGTAACTGCTTCCATTGACCTCCTCAGCAGTTATGTCCCTTTGTCTGAGGAGGAGTTGAGGAGATTGAGGGAGTTCCACAGGTTCACATTCACCAATGTCCTTCGTCTGGAGAAAGATCCAATGGAGTTTTGTCCTGAGGAAAGTGAACTAGGATACCTCATTGTTCCACTCAATAAAGGTATTCTTTACTTTTGCTCTTCTAAAAAGTTAATTTTAAGTGTTCATCCTAATGGCAGAGCTCATGATTAAAATCATAACAGTTGTCAGGCCTGAAAAGTGTTATATCTCATTGTACAGTCTGAAATATGTTGTTTAGAATTGTTATCTTCTTCTGAGGTGATTTTGCACTATGTCGAAAAAAGAAAAAAAAAAAAAAAAAATCACAAGTTAAATGGTATGAAGCCCCTATCAAAATTCAATGTTTTACTTTGAAGCAGTATAAAATTATTTCTCATTATTGCTGAAATACATGTAGACTTTTTGAAATAGATCTGATTTGATGCATTTATCTCTGGTTTGCAGAAGATGAGAGCAAGGTAATCATTGACTGGGATTTTGTGAAAGAAGTGGAAGACTCCAAATCCCACATCAGAAGGAATATATATGATTCAAAGAGAGAACAATTTATTTTTTCCAAAGAAAGCTATGAGGATGCAGTGGTGATGCCCTCTTACCGCAATGTGGACCAACCCCAGCATTTTTACGTCGCTGAAATCAGGGCCGACCTCAATCCATCCTCCCCATTCCCTTCCCCCGAGTTGTACAAGACATTCAGTGCCTATTACACAACCAAGTATGGATTGACCATTACCAATCAGGATCAGCCATTGTTGGATGTGGACCACACTTCTGCCAGGTTAAACCTACTCACTCCGAGGTACATGAATCAGAAGGGAGTAGCCTTGCCTACGAGCAGTGCAGAAACTAAAAAAGCAAGGAGAGAGAATCTACAACAAAAACAAATTCTTGTCCCAGAACTATGTGAAATCCATGTCTTCCCTGCATCACTGTGGAGGAAAGCTGTGTGCTTGCCTACCATTTTGTACAGGTTGAACTACCTGCTTGTGGCCGATGAAATCCGTGTCAAAATTGCAGAGGGTACTGGTATAGGAATGGTCAAGTTGGAGGAGGGCTTCAGATTTCAGCCATTGGATTTTGGATTTGATCCCAAGGAAGAAATGGAAGAGGGGGAAGGCAGCAATGGAGCAATGAACAATGATGTGAACAATGACTCTGATGAAATGGAAGATGATCTTGTTAAAGAAAAAACAATGAATGGTTGTGATTCACAAACTTCTAGTCATATTGATTGTGATAGCACAGGGTTGTTCTCTTCAGAGAAAGAGGGTGATACAAAGAAAGCAAGCTGTGATACAAAGCAAAATATCAATGCAGCATTCCAAAATGAAAAGGCAGCTAATGACAACTGTGATATTCAGAATAATATGTCTGATAACTCAAAACATGGCAAAAATGGATTTTTGAAAAATAATGAAGAATGGGGCAAAACTTTGCAGGATCAAAGTTCTTGTAAATGTTGGGATAAAGTTCAGATATCAGATAAATCACTTAATGAACTGACAGCAGAATTAAATGAAATGAATATACATATCACAAATAGTCCATCGAAGAACAATCCACACAAACCCATTCTGACAGACTTTCCAGATGTAGGGGTTTTCCAACTTTCAGAGAAGCAGAGCAAAGTTTCTCCAAAGACAGAAGATTCCAATGTGGATGTGAATTTTCCAGTCCTTTCTATTTCTCTAGATGAGGAGGTGGATTTGAGTACATTTGTGGGACCAAGTCCCTGTACCATATTACAAGCTCTAACCATGTCCAATGCAAATGACTTTTTCAGCTTGGAAAGATTGGAGACAATTGGAGATTCCTTTCTGAAGTATGCTATTACTGTGTACTTATACTGTACTTATCCAGGCATTCATGAAGGAAAACTGAGTTACTTGAGGAGTAAGCAAGTCAGTAATTGTAACTTGTACAGACTTGGTAAAAGAAAAGGATTTGCAGAGTGCATGATTTCCACCAAGTTTGAACCTTATGAAAATTGGCTGCCTTCAGGCTATGTCATCAACGACGATAAGAGAAAAGGCCCAGTCCCAAAAGTCCTGCTGATCCGAAACGACCTTGGCCAGCTAGAAAAGGTCAAGGAAAGCAGCATCATTGAGTCTTACTGTCAGGAAAATGCCACCATGAACTGGGTCCCCAAACTTGGAGATGTGACAGATGATCCAAATAGTAAGACAGTGGGAGGAGGGCTTAAATCTGAAGATGGTGGTAGAAATCCTTCCATTGAGGACGAGGAGGAGTTTGAGAGCCAGCTGAGGGAGTTGGAGGCTTTACCTGAGAGGGTGAGGCAGGAGGAGAGGGACCAGGTGGTTATCCCCTACAATCTACAGACCCTCCACAGCATCCCCGACAAGAGTATCGCCGACTGTGTAGAGTCTCTCATTGGATGCTATCTCACCTCATGTGGTAAGAAAGCCGTGCTCAAGTTCATGCACTGGCTGGGATTGAAAGTTCTGCCTCAGAAGAAAAAGGGATCCAATGAAGAGGTAAGCTTAACATATCTATTAGAATAGAAAGCAGAAGTTCAGACAAAATTTACAATAAATACAAAAATGATCTATTATTTTATTTAATAGGCAGAGTTGCTGAGTCTGCAGTGTCCAGAATCTCCATTATTAACTCATGTGCCTGGTTATAACTCAATTCTGTGTCGTCTGCTAGAGGGATATGATATGTTGGAGCAGAAGATAGGATATGAATTTAAAGATAAATCGTACCTTCTGCAAGCCTTTACACATGCTTCTTACCACTACAACACAGTCACTGACTGCTATCAAAGGTAAGTTTTCATTCAGTTTGTCATGCAATTAACCATTGTTAAAACCTGTGATGTTATCTTTCATAAAATTTGAACATGTCAGTATCAGTATTGTTTTATGTGTTAATCAGTGATGGAAAACTTTTCAACAAGCAAGACTGTCTTAATAAAAAGTTTGTGTCCAACAGGTTGGAATTTCTTGGTGATGCTATTTTGGATTACGTCATCACTCGACATTTATATGAAGACTCCTGTAAATACTCACCGGGTGTGCTCACTGACCTGAGGTCAGCACTGGTCAACAACAACATATTTGCTGCCCTGGCGGTCAAGTGGGACTTCCATAAGTACTTCAAGGCCATCTCTCCCCCTCTGTTTGGAGTCATGGAGAAATTTGTGGCCAGACAGAAAGAACGGGAAGATGAAATTGATCTCAGTGATGATGAGGTGTGTTAAAAATTTGTTTATTTTAAAAATATTTAATACCTTATTTGTATATTTAAGATATCAAAATAGAAACTAAGTTGGGAAAAATATTTACTAGATGCCCCACTAGGAAATGTTCTTGGAACTGGACATTTTGCAGGTCAGCTGTATTATCAATTTTGAATTCATAGCTGTTGATGTATATTTTTAGTGTTCTATACAAAACATTACCTTTTTACCCACAGAATTACTGCTAATGATTGTAACACGCAGATAAATAACCAATGGGTAAAAATATGTTGATCAAATTACAGGGTGAAGGAGAAGATGAGGAACATGTGGAACTAGAGGTACCTAAAGCTCTGGGGGATATTTTTGAGTCATTAGCGGGAGCCATCTACCTGGATAGTGGAATGTCCTTAGATACAGTGTGGAGAGTTTACTATCGCATCATGAAACCCCAGATAGGTACGACTTTGCTATATCACCTATAAATATATGAAAATGTTGATTAACTACCGGTATGAATTTTCTTTTGTTTATTTGTGGATACATTCAATAGTATAAAGTTTGTATAGTCTAGTTATACATGCACAATGTACAATGTATGAACAATTGTATTCTTTTTTTTTTCCTCTAAAAGACAAGTACCTGAAAAGTATTCCCAAGTCTCCTGTCCGTGAATTGTTGGAGATGGAACCAGAAACAGCTAAGTTTGAGTAGGTTTTTCTAACAATAAAAATGATTAGAAATAGTACTTTAGTATGTATTCATTATGCTTAAACTATGTAAGTACACTATTCTATATCAGTATTAATAAAATCAGGAATTCTGTGTGTACTGTATGATTAAAAAATGTATCAGTGTTTTTATCTTGTCACCTTTTTGATTAATGTGGAAGAAACACTTATAAAAAAAAAAAAATGTTTTTATCATTTCAGAAAACCAGAGAGGACATTAGAGGGCAAGATTAGAGTGACAGTCAATGTGGTAACCAAGGGAGTGTTTACAGGGGTGGGTAGAAACTACAGGATCGCTAAAAGTGCCGCGGCGAAGAAAGCCTTGCGATCTATCCGGGCCATGCAGGCTGGCGGGCTCATCTAAAAATAGAATTATTGGTGCTTGATATACAGATAAAGGTCATGCAGGAATATGACCATGTGTCAAAATTGCTTATAGTGCTGTATCATTCAGAAAGGGGAATGTGCAATGGATATTCTCTATTGGAATTATGCAATACACATGACTTAGTGCTCAAACTCTTGATATACTGTACGTGTGTCAGATTTATATGAAACTGTTGAAAATATTATACCATCACTCAATAATTTTGCCAAAGTATATTTAACGGTTACAATTACTGGTAATTCTATAATATCCAGCAATAGATTAGAGTAAAAGATTAACGGTTGCAATTACTGGTAATATCCAGCAATAGATTAGAGCAAAAGTTTATGGCAGTGCAGATCTGAAAAATTCCATTATTGTTCTTTGGCTGGCATAATACTTAAACAGTGCAAGTAAATTGTGTGTTAGTAAGTTAATTAATTATGTTACTATCGTATTGCTGCCAAACATTATACATTATACAATGTACTTGTTCATGCACTCCTCTCTTTCAGCTCACCTGAGCTGAAGGCTCAAGTGAGCTTTTCTGATTGAATTTGTTGTCATTTTGTTGTTGTAAACTTTTCACATTCTCACCTTCATATGAAGAACCACTGGACCAATTTCAACCAAACTTGCCACAAAGTATTCTTTGGTAAAGGGGATTCAAGTTTGTTTGAATGAAAGACCACACTTTCTTCCAAGGGCAGATAATTATGATTTTGTGAAAAATTTATGGTAAATATCTTCTCAAGAACCACTTTGCTTAAAAAAAAATAAAACTAATGTGGTTGGGACCACATGAGCATTAAACTTTTCAGTTCTGAACTTCAAGTTTGTTCAAATCATACCCCCCCCAAACAACCACTTTTATATTTAAACTTTTCCTTACTGAACCAATTTTTGCTTTTTCCTAGACAAAGTGCTCAGGTGAGTGATATGGCCTGTTGGCCTCTGGTTTGATATACATTTGTATTGCCAGATTAACCAAAGGTTCAAATCAGGTATTCATTATCTAATGAAATTCCATACAGTTATTTTACCCCTGCTCCAAAAGAGAGGGGGATATGTTCTTTAATCCTTGTGTGTTGATCTGTGTGTGTCCTTCAGTCTGTAACCAATTTTTGTTGCAGTTTTCTCAGCAAATACTCTTTGCAGATGCTTGAAATTTTATCACATTCTATGTTTTGGCAAGCCATGTGATGGGTTTTAATTTTGTATAAATTCTGTGTCAACTTCCAGTTGCTCCCTGCATCTGTCTTTATATTACACATGTATATTGTTTTCTAAGCAACTACTCAAGGCAATATCAAATCATGACAATACATATTTCAAGCTCACTGTTAGATTTATACAGTGTACAAAGAATCTTGCAGGTCAGTTTGTAGGTGGAAATCATAATGACCAAAGAACTTTTATAGGGACAATTCCTTAACTAAGCTTTTTTAAAGAAGTGAACAACTGTTTATAACAAATGTATGTACATGTAATAACAACTGAGTCAAGTTTATTTCATATCAATGGTGAAATGCTGTAATTTATCCTTTTTGAATGAAAGGCAAAACAGCCAAAAAGGAACACCAACGTAAACGTAATACACAGAAAATTCAATTTTTGAATTTATTAGAGAAAAATTAATTGCTTTTTAAAAAATCTTTTCTCAAACTGGGCCAGGAAAGACCAAACTCATGTGGAATCATTGTTAGGTAGTGTAAATTCAAGTTTTCTGGTCGAAAAGTTTTACATAAATATATATGTTAAAAATCTTCTTCTATTGAATTTCATGTGGATACAGGTAGTATATATATGTAACAAATTTTACATAGGAATATATAGGAAAAATTTTAAAATCTTCTTCTCTTGGGCCAGGAAAGATGCTGTGGAATCATCATTTTTGCAACAACTGCATATCAGGGTGGGGCCAGGCTTTGCATGCTCAATATATAGGAAAAATCTTTAAAAATCTTCTTCATCAGTGGGCCAGGAAAGATATGTGATTTAATTTGTTTGTTCATACATGGCCAACCAAGTTTTACATAGGAATATATAGTCTTTATCTTCTTCTTAAAAACCACTGGGCCACATTTAAACTGTTTGTCAATTAAATTTTTAAGAATATATAGGAAAAAGCTTTAAATTTTTCTGGGCCAGGAAAGATGCTCTTTAATTTCTAGTGTAGATTCAAGTTTTTTCATCATGACCCCCCAGGCTAGGCTCTATTTTACATAGGATATATAAAACCTTTTAAAGTATTTCCTTTGATTAGTGATATTTATATGAATCATCCTCAGGTAGTGTAGATTCAAAATGGTTAATGCCTGGAGGGGGGGGTCATGGTTGAAGACCGATGTGCTCAAATTGTTTTCTTTCATGAAAGGCAAAACAGCCAAAAAGGAAAACCAACGTAAATGTAATATGCAGAAAATTCAATTTTTGAATTTATTTCAATTTTGAAACAGGACTCTGTACTATGCATCTTCTGAAAAAATACATAAATTATATGTTAAACTGGTGTCTATTAAATTTTGTGATACCGATATATATATGTACTAACAAATTTGATGTTTAAAATTTCTTCTTGGTGCTGCATTTTTGCAACAACTGCATATCAAGGCTTTGCATGCTCAAATATTCATTCCCATCAGTTATGTGATTTAATTTGTATACATTTCTGTCAGTATATGTACATTTAAACTGTTTGTCAATTAAATTAAGAATTCAAATTTTATGTGCTCTTTATTTTCTTAATTCATCTTTCTATTAAGGATTAAACAAAGTATTTCCTTTGAATGAAGAATGGTACAAAAATAGAACTTCTCTTCATGGTTGAAGACCTAGTTGTCAAATTGTTTTCCATTTCATTTGTCAGCATAAATGCATTTCTTGTTGACCTGATCAAGGCCATATGGAAAAGTATCGCTACATTTACAATAGCATGTTCTGGCCACCTTGTCAAGAACTGACTGCACACACAGTACCCAGTTAATTTCTGGTTTTTGATATCCAACATCTAGTTATGAATGGAAGAGACAGAGTTATATATGTATCACCATTGTCAGTAGATAGCTTTTATTGAGGTCATTTATTGAACTCTATATATACATGAATATAAAAATACAGGATCTGTGATCTGCTTAAAGCACCTTCTCATTACATTAGAATAATTTATGTTGCATGTAATCTCATATAATGAAGGAGATTCAAAGTCAAACAATGAACCACATGACTCATTCCCAATCATAATTTCTCTGCCATTTCCGTAACCACAAATACTGTAGTCAGTTTTTTTTTATCAGTTACGGAAAAAGGAAGTGTCAGCAGAATAGACAAATTCCATTTACCCTCAACAGAAAACAAGCTTAAGACTATGTGATAATGGTGTTAATAGCTGTTCTACAGAGTAATGCATGTATTTACAAAATAAAACTATGCATTATATGCTTGATTATACAAATGTATCTTTTAAAAAATAAGATGGAAGAAGCTTATCACATATCACTGAAAACTCCCTTACAAATGCAAAACTATTTAAATATAAATAAATAATAATGAAACTATGAAGTTAAATGTAATGATATACTTGTAACATAAAATGATATGAACTATTGAAAAAATAAAATATACAAAGCCATTTCAAAACAAAATATATCTTTCTTTCCATATAACGCATGTAGATAAAAACATTTTAAAAACAACCTGATAAGGGATGTAAGAAAAGCAAAAAAATTATAAACACACATTGTATTATAAAAAAGACCTTGATTAAAAAATTCAATTTTCCTTAAAAAAGATCCTTAAAAAAAATTAAAGCTTTGAAATAAATAACTTTCAGTTACTGATACATATACTGTACATGTACATTGTACACCATATATTAAAAGAGGTCCTCCAATGTAAAACAAAATCTGAACAAAAATTTTACACAACATTCAAAATTAATTCTTTGAGTATAGAGTACAAAAAAATGTAGAGTTCTGCTTCATAAATTTATTATAGAGCGGATAGCTTATCTCTATTTTGTCAGGTATAATTTTATTGAAGAATTTTAAATCAACAAAACTTTAATCCTCCATGAATTTTCTGTTTCTACTTTATATAAGTTATGTTTACAAATATTAATTTTTTTTTTATTTTGTTCATCTTTGGTGTGCTTCTTTGAAGGCCACATAAGTTTACATATATATAAACATGTACAAGTACATGGACAATAAGAATACAAAAAAGAATGAAAAAGCTTGAGGTTGAATCCTACTGCAGCTCCTGAACTATGAACCTGAATGCGGGGACTAGATAAATGCTAATTTATGTTGACAATATTTGTCATGACCCCTCCACTGCATTCTCACTGTCATCCTGAAGAAAGAAAGGTTCTTTTTCAAAACAAACCAAGTAAAATAAAATGTACTGTGCATAAAATTGTTGTGCTATTTCTTGTTAACTTTATTAAATATTTACATTTGCCAATGTCTTTCCTTATATGACGTACAATACTAAAAAAATGACATTCAATTTTCAATGACATGCAGTCAGACATGACATGATCAGACTTTCTTGCGTATGGAAAGCAAACTGCGCGAGATATTTGGAAAGTCTTGACTGTGACGTCATATGACGTCGTATTTATAAGTTATGTTACATTCAATAGCAAACTCTAAAAAGAGCACTTTGTCTTTGTAATGTGAATAGAAATAAAAATATTTGGGCGTTATAGAATTTGATCACGTGACCGACTTTATGTCATATCCCAATGACACTCTAAAAATGATATCTTATTTCTTAAATCTCTCATCCAATTCACATGTAACAAGAATTTCATGTGATACCCCCCCCTCCCTCTTCCAATTACTTTTTCAGTAACTTTCAATAATTAAAACTTAAATCAAAAATGCTTTCAACAATTACCTCTACCAGAGAAACATCATTTTCAGAATAAGATGGCGGGGCTGCCTTAGAATATTTGATGGCTAGAAGGTCTCCAATGTCACTAGTAATGTGAAGGGCCTGCAACAAACAATATTTGCATCAATCTATGTTCAGATCTATTAAAATATTTGTACAATATAAATGAACTTTTCAAGAAAAAGCGGATGCACTGAAAATAATAACAATGGTACCATACATAAATCGAGTAATTTCTGGCTTTGAAAAATAATTTCTCACCACAAGACACTGAAAAACAATATCCCTAGTAGCAGCCTACCTCGTCTAACATTTCCTTGGTATGGGAAGCTGACAGACAGAATCTGGCCCGACATTTTGTCATCGGGGTGGCTGGGAAACCTACGACAACCACACCCATCCCCCTCTTCAGCGCCTCTCGGGAGAATTTTCTGAAAATCGAAGTGACAGTTTTATTAGAAGGTCTCTGAAAAAGGGCATTCTCTTGCTCTTTAACATTTATTCTCAATAAAACACTTCAATTCAGTTTGAATTCAAATATTTGGCAGCATGCACATTGTGTAAAAGATAAGTAGTTTTTTATGCAAAGATTTTTGTAATATTGGCAATACTGTATACAGGGTTATTTTCGCCCCGTGTTATTGTCACCCTTTTACAATTTTGTACCATTTTAAATTCGCCCAGTTATAGTTTCCTTTAAGAATTTATACTGTATTCTTTGAATTCACCTAGTTTTAAATTCGCCCAAATGAGGATAGGGCGAAAGGGGCAAAAATAAAACAGGGGCGAAAATTTCCCTGTATACAGTAATTTGGCAATGTTTTCCTTTCGCAAACTCTACAGATATATTCACATTTCTGTCAACAAATGTATACATCCAAGATGCTTACGCTATTTTGGAAGGCATAAACATGAGTAATGGCACCACAGGGGAATCTTTGTTTCCGTACAATATAAAGCCCATCTCCTGAAGCCGCCTCCTGAAGTAGCGCGTGTTCCATTTCAACTGCTGGATTCTCTTCTCACCTGGAAAAATTTAAAATTGAAAAAATTTGGGTTCTTTCAGTTGATAAATCTCACTTTGCAGGGACATGTTTGTTAAATGCCTATACAATCTTTTTAGTGTTTTTGGTGACCTACTATTGTGTAACAGATGATAAATTTTGGATAAAGTTACTTTCAGCATACAGAGAAAAGGATATGCAGTCTTGATCATTATACATACATGTATATCTGATAACGATCTATACCATTTTTCATGCTTATTCTGAAACTCTCTCATACCTTCTCTGGTTCCATCTCTGCCCAGCATGATTTTCATGGAGGAGAGGATTTGTTGAGCAATGCCAGGGGCCATACTGCTGGAATAGATGGCTGAATGGGAGTACAGTCTAATGTGGTTTACCAAGGCCTGTCAACAGAAAATACAAGGTTAGCTGTTTCAAAGTAGATGGTAAAAATGTTCAAAAATTAATATAAAGAACATAATTATACAATACCTTTGATCCACCAATGTATCCCCCAACCGCACCAAAACTTTTGGTAAATGTCCCCATCATGATGTCTACATCTCGGGGATTGAGCCCAAAATAATCCACCACTCCCTTCCCATGGGGTCCTATGGCACCTATACTATGGGCTTCATCTAAATATAAATAGGCTTTATATTTCTTCTTCAAATTGAGCACCTCTGGCAATTTCACAATTGAACCTTCCATACTGCAAAAGATACAGAATCAAAATTGAATACTCTCATGTAAAGAGTATAGAAATACAGCTACATCACAAATATTTTACTCACTTAAACAAGGAGTAAAAAAATTTATGAAGACAAGAAGGCCAGATTGCCAAAATTTAAAATTTTCTTCATTTGAAATAAAAATATGCATAAACAAGAAGGAGTTAAAGCATCTCCCTGCAAATACACAGTTGTTTCCCTTTTCAAATTTTGAAATTCTCTAAGAATATGAAGTATGCCAAGGACATTTGTCTAATTATTTTTAAACTAAAAGAATTTCCAATCAAAGATCTTTGTTTCTTTCTTTCATTACCTATAAACTCCTTCCACCACAATTAAAATCTTTTTCCAAGGACGATGTGTTCTGGGCTGTTTATCTACAATCGCCTCTCGTAGTTTTTTCTCTAGATCTTTCATACCTGTAGAGAGTAATTATCAACTTAATCAATGTACATTAAAGGCATGTGAATCATTTGATACCTTTGTTTCAGATTACCAGTACAGCTAAGAATTTCTAAATTACCGACATACAAGCAGTAAGACTACAAAAACTTATAGTTTGAGATTTAAAAACATTTTATTGATTGATGTACATGTATCTATGAAAAAAAAATAAAACTATAACATATTTATCCTTAATCAATATAGTTTCCTAGCAGCTGTTTCCAAGTAATTATTTTACAATCAGTGGGCTTGTTATGTTAATCAGGTATTAGTCACTATTTACTCACAGTTGTGTTTGAAGGTTCGTATTTTGGCACCAGAGAGACGACAACCCAAAATCAGAGACGCATGATTTAGTTCATCACTCAATATCAAGCAACCCTGATTAAAAAAGAGAAAGTTCATCTATCTTATCTGATCTTAGCTAATTGTACCAGTATTTTGTAACAATGCAAGTTGCAAGGTCTTGTTGACTCTATATTTTCCATTAAGAGTATATTACATGTAACACCAATTAGCAAAAATAAATTTGATAAATTAATTGAAGCTTAAAAATTATTTAAATATACAAATAAAACCCAGAAAAAAATTAATTGAAATTCTCAATTAAATGCAATAATTTAATCAAAAAATAAAATTAATGCATTTTTTAAATAAAACATTAATGAAATACAGAGTTTATTCCTCCACATTCACCTTACATGTTTAGGTCTTAAGCCCCAACATTTAAAAAAAAAAACATGTACAAATTGTTTTAGTCTTTTTATCTACAAACACTTAATATATCTATAGATAAATAACTCACCTTTCCAACAAGTGAAGGAATATTCATAGAATTTGTAGCGAACCCCATAGGCACTGTAAAGGCGTCCTCCACTCCCAGATAATCGGCCACGAGGTCGTCCATCTGTTTGTGTAAGTCCAGGTAACCTAGAACAGGAGGAAATGGGATCATGCCATAGGTTGTAAGAGCTACCAGTATGTCAGCATTTTCCTTATTCTTCATTGCAATGACAAAGATCACAAATATAATCTTTTATTTTTATAATTCTTTATACAAATATTATATATTCTAATTATACTCTATAGTTAAAAGATGTATCTATAAACTCTGCCTTTGAGGAACAATTTCAATCTCAATTTGTTCTTGTAAAAAAGTATTTAAGAAATGATATATGCATTTAATTCATGGATTTTATTTATGTAAATATGAATTGTTTTGAACTGATTAATTTGATAAAGAATGATCGAATTACATTGTGTATGCATGCAGCATCATATAGAGAATAATGTTAATTAATTCATAACAAAAGTAATTAACATTTCCAGAAAGCATGTTTCATATAATATTCCATGTTTTCAAAATAAGCTCGACCTTTAATGTATAATGGTATATTATATAATTATATTTAGCAAGAATTAAGAGTGTGTATGTCATATGAATTTTGAATGACCTTGAACATGGATGAGTCATACATTGATGCAGTCTATAGCCAATAGCTATAATTACCAAATAATCAAAATCCGTATCAAATTTGCCTGGACCTGACAATGGAACATACAGCCCCATTACTAAGGTATAAGCTTATAAAAATAAAAGCTTAGGAAGTAAAGTACATGTAGTATTAGGATTATAATTTGTCTTATACTGGAGAAATGAGAGTCTGATAAGATTACTAACAAAAATTATAGAAGATACAATCCAACTTTCATCAATAACTTAAAAAACCCAACTTAATGGTCATGATAAAAGCAAAATGAATAAGTTTAACTGTGTATATTTTATATTTTCAATCAAGGATTCATAATAATAGGGTTTAAAGTGTCAAAAAGTATGTTGTATAGATTTTATAATAAGGGTTGATTGCACAAAGACAGAATTTTGAACGACTCATATAAAGTTGACAATGCCCTAATATTATAGATATTAATTATTTGCATCATTTACAACCAACCAAAGTCCAAAAAATATACCAATTATAGATGATGAATATATCACTACCGGTAATTGTCATAAAACATTATTCATCTGAGCAATTTTCTCCAAATACACATTTTTAAGTATTTTTTTGTATACTAGGTAACACAGTTTACAAAGTTTTTAGCATGTGTAGTTTTAAGTATATCGATCTCTAAGAAATGAGAAGTATTTGGGTACCATAATGTACATGCATCTCTTTAAATAAGCCCAATATGATGTTGAATACCAAAGAATTAGTGCTCTCACCCAACCAAGTCAAGAATCCATTTCTCTCAAATCTTTTTGTCATTTTGAAATTCAAAGTTCTAATATAACTTCAGTACATTTCTGACCAAAAGAAAGTGTACTAGGAACTTCAATACATTAATCAAGAATATCCTTTAAACAGTCCAAAATAATCTATCTTTGAAGAAATGAAAGTCCCACAGGAACTTTCCACACGTTCAGACTTTACAAAAACAATATCACTTTTACTGTACATGTTTACAGTATGTTTTATTAACAGAGCTCTCACCAAATTCCTGGCGACTGGCACAAACACTGACTCCGTAATTTTTTATGGTTTCTTCTACCTCCTCAGCGCAAGGTCCTGAATTCTGAGAAAATCCCAGATAATTGTAAGAGCCAAAGTTTAATACAGTGGTTTGTTTCCCTGTGTAGCTGTAAATGATGAAAAAAAAATTCAATTCCTAATTCACATATTTGCCACATTTGTTTCAAGTCTCTCCCTATCTCTCATCTACCTATATTATATCTATATATGTATACATTATCAGCATCATAAAAGCCACTTATATTCAAATAAAAAACTGACTTACTAGAAATGCCAGCCATTGTCTTTACTCTCTCGATCCATGACAGTCATCTTGGCCCCGGGAACACTACCGACAGGCCGACAAAAACAGTCCTGAATGCGGCGGTACACGTACCAAGAGTAAAAGCTCTCCCATGTCTGATACAAAGGCACAAATCCCTGGAACATTGGATTAAAACTTCAAACATGCTATAATATTTGGGAGGCAAATATAATTTTCTCATTTCACTCTTTTCCTGGCTTTCAGCAATTGGGCAAAAATGCAAGGGAAAGAGAAATTGAGGGCAATAACAGAACAAAGGGGCTATAACTCCTGATCAGGGTCTCTTTAAGAAGAGTGTTTGCAAAATAACTCTTGAGGAAGTGTAATACAACAAAGCAAGGGGAAAGATGTGAGGGGACAGTGAAACTAGGAAAGTAAATGCAACTAAACGTAAAGTGAGCATTGAGCTTATGAAATGATACTCCCTCCCTCAGTGCTAAGGGAAATCCCAATTATCTGTCCAATCAAAAGTTAAAATAGAAAGCACTAATGCTATAAAGATGTGTGAGAGTTTCATTAAATTTTATATAGTGGAGTAGGTGGAGTTAGGAATAAGAGACAGGTACCCTAGCTAATATTATAAAAGGAAGAAAAACAAAGTCCTTTACACATGCTTTGCAATATGTGTCTGATCAAAATGTAAAATAGGGAATTTATAATGCCATTATATTGTAATAAAGAGTTCATTAGTGTTTGAGGGGACCATGCGGCCCCAAATCATGGTTGTAGGAACCAGGGACTTGTCCCCCACCCTCAAAAATTTTGTTGATAAATTAGAATACTATATATATATAGAAAACATAGCTACTATATGCTCATGCCCCCTCAATAAAAACATCTGGTGAACCTTTTTTGCTTGTCAAGGAATTTTTGGCATTTGATACTAAATGCCCCAAAGTGAAAATATATGGCTGTGCCCCCCCCCCCCCCCCCATGAAATTGCTTCCTACTGGCCTGCAAAGTATACATCAAAGTTTTATGATACATGTGTATTAATTAAAACTTACAGGAATTCTTGGCTCTGCAACACCTTTCACAACTCCAATCCCAATGCTCTTAAAGAACTCTCGTACATGTCCAACAGCCACTAGAATGAGGTACCCAATGTATGTAGATATGGCAGCAGGCATGGGAGTTTCTTCAAAAGATTCAAAAAAGTCATTCTCCCACGTCACGTTACTGTCTTCAACAGCTTGTTTTGTTTTCAGGTGGCATCCATTTGAAAGTTTCCCACCATTTTGCACTCCGATCAGCGTCTTACTTTTGCCATGAATATTGTTCTCACTTGGCATGTATATAGTTTCCACCATAGTCATTTCTCTCTGTTATAAATGAGGCTAAATTCTCATCTAAAAAATTTTTAAAAATACCAAACTACAAAATGCAATTCATTATAATAAGTAATATATAAAAACATCTCTTAAGAAATAAATTACAGGTGGTTTTGTGGTTTGGAAAGGCTAAAGTATTCCATAATTTTGTAGTATGCTGCAAACACAGAATATTTTTCATACCTCCTACCTTCTTAAAAACAATTTTTCCGTCTTGTACACCACAGGCTGTCACCGCAGGTGCCCTTATATTATTATCAGCTGTTTTAGATTGCATAGGCCAGAAAATAAATCGTTATCTCGAGGAAATTAATGATCTTTATAATTGCTTACAACTCGATAAGTACTGTAAGTTAAAAGGCCTGTCACGACTGGGGATCGTGAACTATACAAATGGGGCGTTACCCAACGGTCGCTGTTCAGACAGTCTGACATTCTTTAATTTTTGGGATGAGACACCAACAACATATGCACATACTTCTAAGCATGTTTTTTTTCTCTCTAAATTCAGTAAAACCTTATTCATTGATAGCGCATCTCACATAAATTTAATGATAACAGGATAAAGTCTTAACAAATGCTTAAAAAATATTTTTACAAGTTTCCAGATTGTCCAGGCAGCATTCTTTCATTCAATTCAACAACGCTGATATCATAATAACAGCATGCCCCCGGGCAATACGACCTTACCTCAATAAACAATTGACACCGACAATACCACATCCTGCTACTGTTTAATTGTTATAAGATGCTTACAAGTGACCGCATTCTTTTGTTACGTGCACTAACGAAAAGGTGGGTGGGGCGTTTTAAAAATCTTACCAGTGGTTCCTCATCTCTCCCGGGGATAAGCTGGTTGTTACTGTAACATGTTTATAAATCCTGATATTTGTAACACGTATCACACATGTTCACTACGAGATAAAGCTCTTACCACTAGGTTCAACCAATCGCCTGAGTTAGCTGGCGGGGAGTCATCGTGCGACTGTGCGCGGTATATGGGGGTTATATAAGGTAACAAAGCTCCCACACACTATCACAGCAAACATTACCAATTAACAAACACAAAAGTTCGCAGTGTCATTTTATTAACTGCAATTTAACCCTCTCCTTAAAGATAGATAAAGAAATAAATTTAAATAAATAAATCTTCAGAAAACAAGGTGTGCTCTGTAAGACTGATGATCCCTCTTGTCGGAATAAAAAAAACTCAAATGAATATCAAGAGGAAAAAAATGTTAGAACCCCAAGAATTTGTCACTAGAAATACACCTGTGAAACATGAAAGCCCTTGCATTAACCATTCACAGACATCAAGTAAAACATCTGGAATATTTTAGCTTTGTGAGCAATGCGTGCAGACCCCCCCCCCCCCACTAGCAAAGTCCAGACCAAAGTCCATTTTTTAATACAGAAGTGTATGTGAATATGAGAAAAGGTCCCATAGTCTGCCCAATCAAAACACAATGGTACAATTGTAAAAAAAAAAAAAGTCTTTGAAAGTCTTATTTAATTATACTGTATAGGAGTTGCAGATACTTATACCAGAAGCGAGTGTCCAAGAATAGAAATGTCCAGGCTTTGTTAAAGAAATCCAAATTATCTGTCCAAATAGGAGGTCACAATGGCACTATCTAAATTAATCTAGATACCTGGTTACATACCTGGCAAGGCGGAGCCTAGTCAGGTATGAAATTTACTAACCAGGTATCATCCCATCCTAAGAAAGTCTCATTAGATAATAAGTTTCGGATATAATTGATGGGCTCCCCAAAGTGTTACAGACAAATAAATGAACTCTCTTTCATTACATATCCCCTGCTTGAATGAAAAAAAAGGTTTATGAAGCATTTATATCCCAATTAAGCATCTTGCCTCTAATCAAAATTATATTCCATATTACCAGGGCCTTTTTGGTACATTCTGAAAAAGAGTTATGGTACACTTTTATAAATGAAAAAAATCTAACTCTCTTTTTTCATTACTTGCACATATGTCTGGTAAAAATGGCAATCGTATACTTTCAAGATAAAGATAGGATAATGATTTTAATTTTATTTTTTTTTATTTACAGAAATATAGTAGATTTAGACATGTCCAACTAAAACAATCCAAAAACAAAAATCAAAATGATAAAAAAGATTTATTCCTCTTTACATAAAAAAACACAATACTTTGGATTTCAATATAATAATTTACACACAATCATAACTTCTTATCTAGAAAATTTACATTTTGTTCAACAGACATTGTTTTTTTTTCTAAACCTGTCTCTTCTCATATGACAATATTAGATTCCTATTGTCCCATAGAGAGTCATAGACAAGTAATATGTGGCCTTTGCTCTGGCTCAGGTGAGCCAAATATTGATTTGGTGGTCAAAAGGCTCAAGGGCCACACTGCTCACCCATATTCCTGTTACACTTTAGGCCTCTTCTGTGGTCTCATTTAAAGATAACATTACATAAGAAAATATCCCAAAAGGATATGTCCCTTCTGGCCCAGACAAAAAACCTAACGACATATTGAAATGGTCACTATACCCGGTATATTACATAATTTTATAATGTTTTTATTTTCTGTATTTTACTTTTAAGAGAGAAAAAAGGCCTGTCCTTTGAGCTAAATTGAATCCCAATGAACAGATGGATGTACAGACAACAGACAATCTTCAAACAAAAGCTCATTTAAATTCAGCTTTGAGATAAAAATGCAAGGAAAGCTATTAATGTAACACACAAACAAAATAATAAATGTAAAAAATAAAGGTACAAAAGTATCAGTTACAAATTAGCAAAAAGTGACTACAGAGCAGCTGATAAATACATATATATCAAAATGGCACATACATTGGTAAACCATAAATAAGTAAACGTGAATAAAATCTATACTCTTGGAGACCGCAGGAAAAAAAATGCAGACATAAGTAAACTAAGTAAGGACTGAATGTTTTAGGACGCGTGTAGGATTTGAAAAAAAAATCACTGGGTATAAGCCTCTCATCAATTTTGAAGGCATTCAAAGTTAAAAGAAAACAATCCACCCTTTCCCTAACTCTCATTTAATTATTACTGTAAATTACTTTCTATTGGAAAGGAACTTATTTTTTGCCTATAAATTACGTGAAACAGTGTCCTCACGATAATATCATTCTTGCATATAGATGTACTCTTAAAGATTGTATAGAGCAATTACCAAAATTCATGAAAATTCCATCTCTCTAATAAATAGTAAATATCTCGTGAAATAAAACTAGGTGTCGTGAAAAATTTTGTGATCTACATTATTGTGACATCACAAATGTTTTTCACTGTCTAGAACTATTATGCATAAATGATACATTGTATTAAAAATAGCAAATACTGTCTACAGCTTAAAAATTGCTAACTTTCATAATTAGTTTTAATTTTAAATATTTGAGCAATTTCATCCATTTTTTCTATTAATCCACTGTGTTTGATAATGGGTTAGTTTCATTTATCTTGAGGCAAAACCGATGAGAAACAAAACTGCAGCAAAAAAAAAAATAAAATCATACAACATGAGATGCACTATACAGCAGGAAAAATATCTTTAACAATCAAATAGAAATTAAGAAGAAAAAAACACAGAAAACTGGGAGGTATGGTAGTTGGTGAGCAAATGTAATTCTGCTTTGGTACATATAGTTCATGCATTAATATAAAAATATATAAAAACCCACCTTTAGTGTTGTTAGTGGTCAAATTAACAGAGAAAAAATAGTTTATAAACTTATAAAGATGGATTGTTAGAGCTTAATTAAAAGCAGTGAATTTATGAACAATGAAAATAAATAAGGGTGAAATGTGATAAGGTTTCTAACCATAGAATGAAATAAATATAAACACTCATGAAGCATGTTTGTGTCAAAAAAAAAAAAATCAAATGGCAGCAACTTCCACTTATTTTTATACACATGGGCTTTGTAGATCTCCTATGAAAAATACCTATAGGTTTTGATCATGATCACTATGATATGTGTCAAATAAAGTAACATCAAGTATGACAATGGAATAACTTGCATTTATAAGGCTATTGCTAAATGTTGTTCATGCATATAAAGGTAATAAATCATAGCACAACCATGAATATAGTAACAATGAATATAATAACTGTAATGACTGTACATTGTGAAAATACACACCAACAAGTGATATATGTAAATTAAAAAATGCTTAAAGTGGATATCACCCATTGAATAAAGCAGAACTTCCACATAAGGTCTCCATGGTAATGCTTCATTCAACGGGGTCATTCTTTTTTCAAAATTCTTTTTTCTCCACTGAAAGCAATGCCTTAGAAGAAATACACTTACGAAGGCATAAAATGAAGAAAAGATCCTAACAAAATCATAAATAATGTCATTCAAAAATAGAAAACAAAGAAAATATTTACATTTACTAGAAAAAAACAGCATTTATAGAGTGCAATTTTAAGATTTAGAATTGTAAAAGTAATTTAAGGTGTGAATATATTTATAAGGCTTTTTCAATGAAGTAAATATTACTTTAAAAATTCAAAAAAATACATGCTATAATTTGTGTGTCTGAATCATTTACCACACTAATTCTAATTTTCAACAATATGTACAAGTATATCAACAGGATTCATTCCATATTCACTTATAATACCCTTTAAAATCTTCAAATTTAAATTTTAATGTACGAGTCTATATAACCCTTGTATACAGAAAGAAATTAAACAATTTGTGATATCAACAGCATCAACTATGCAAAGACTGCCATTTTATAAGATAAACAGTATCAATAGAAAACTCTTAAAAATATACACATGACAGCACTATAATAACTCTAGCATGAAACACACATCAGCCTTTTAGCCAATTTTGACTTGAACATGTTTGATGATGACAAAATGAATTCAGTTTATAACTATACATGTATAACATGTACTGCCAGCATCTTTCTCTCTTGTCATGTGACTTGTGAAGCCTTTGCTAGACACAGGAGGGAACAGATGTCGTATTATCATGTACGACGACATTTGTTGAGGAATGGATGGACTTTGCGATCTTGTTTTGTAATGAATTCCACTGATCATCCATACACTTTACACTTACTCACTATGGGTAAAATAAAAAGAGTATTAGGATTCTTACAACATAACTTTCTTGAATTCCACATGAAAAAATAAAAAACCATCTGTAATTTTAAAACTGAGAGGAATGGCATCAACAAAAAGCCAAATGACAAGGTTAAGTCTTTTAATGATAAATGTTAAAGATATTGAACTATAAATTAAATGAGATAACACTTTATCAATAAGTTTACCTGTGGGCTTTGGTACCCCCATTTCTGGACTCATTCTTGTCACTCTCTGTTACTGCTTTCTCTGGTTTTAATCTCGAATATTTCAACTTTAATAAATCTCCTACTTCATCCAGAATATCTAATGCCTGAAATTAATAAGTGTCAAAAAAATATCAATAACAATCTACGAACAACACTTAAAGCCTGCATTATGTATTTATATGTAAAAAAATAAATCACCATATATCTTCCAAAAGATTTTTTTGCACCTAACCTTAAATGGACAAAATAAAATTATAAAAGTAATGACTTATCAAGCATACCTTGTCTAACATTTCCTTTGTGTGGGCTGCAGACAGACAGAATCTGGCCCTGGACTCGATGATGGGGGTCGCTGGAAACCCTACCACTACAATCCCCAACCCCCTCTGTAAACACTCCCTACTAAGGCAACTAAAAATAGAACACATTAAAGATTCATTATTAATGAAAGATTATCTACACCACTTTTAAAGGTAAACTTGGCATCTCAAAATATAATTATAAATATAATTGTAAATATTTTATGTAATATCCTCTCTGTACTGTTTTGTACAGTTTATGAGAATAAAGTCTTGTGTCTTGTCTTGTCTTGTCTAAAAATGAATTAGCTCGCAAAATGTAATTAAAATCAGTAATTTACTTTTGCCTTGGTGATAGAAATAAGCTAATCATTCAGAATTGTTTCAAGAATTAATCTTACTCTATTAGAAAAATTACATTGAATGGACTGCTATGAACTACAAGAAAAAGACTTAAGATACATACCTAATTTTACCAGGCATAAACAATAGAGTTGGTACTACTGGTGAGTGGTCATTTCCATACACAATAAATCCCATCTCTTTCATTCTTGTTCTAAAGTAGGTAGTGTTCCATGCCAAAGTGTCTATTCTTTTCTTCCCTGAAATAACATTATAATTTCAATAAAAATATTAAAATAATTGAAAGTTTCTGTACAAACACAATTGTTTTTTTTATTTTTAATTTAATAAAACACAATATACCATTTGTTCTATTTGGCCTGATATATGACTGACCTTCACATTCAGAAATCAGTATCTTGAAATATAAGTTCACTATCTTTTTTTTTTAATGTAACAGTTATGATCAACATTAAATTTGTGAACAAAAGATAAATGAAAAGCACATTAATAAACAATTTTTTCAATGGAAGATTTGGGAATATATAGCTTTTGCCTTGTCCATCCATCTGTCTGTCTGTTTATCTGCAAAAACTTTAACCTTGTCCATAACTTTTGAGTGAGTGAGACTATGGCTTTCATACTTCGATTACAGGGGCATAATGATCTCCATGTACCTTATCAGACAAGCCACACATAGGGCAGAATTAACATTTTATCACCAGTAACTCCCTTTTATTGTGCTTTATCCTTTTTTCACAGAGCAAGTCAATAATAGACCCCGTCATTGGTATATATATTGTACCTTCATCTGTGCCGTCTTTGCCGAGCATTATTTTCATTGAGGATAGGACCTGCTGTACAACACACATGGGCATGGAGCTGGAATATATCGCGGAGTGAGAGGACACTCTCAGGTGGTTGATCAAATTCTACAACAAGAAAGCATCACAATTACCAGATCATCAAATTCTACAATAAGAATGCATTACAATTAACAGAACCAGATCATCATTGATTTTCCTCCCTCAAAAGAAAACGTTTCCCTTTTCAATAGTAAAAGTGATCTCCCTTGACTATTATAACTGGGATATTAAGCTGTATTATTTATTCATGAGGAACAGATATGCTGATAAAATCTGATTAAATCCTTTTATGATGGACATCTCTAGATGACACAGGAAATAGCAGAAGTACCAAGAGCACAGCAATTTTTTTTAACGATATTACAGCATTGAATTCTTTATTTACACTAAGGGTGTCAAATCGGTCAATTTTCAATACTCGGTTACTCGGACGTTTTTCCGATCGAGTACCAGGGTACTCGGTAAAAGTGTAAAAAAAAATATGAACAAGTAAATTGAAGACTGTAAAACATTGTAAACTCTTGTAGAAATAAAACCAGATGCACTGATAGGAGGCTTATCCGTAAATGTATTTCTTTTGTAATAATGATGAGCACTTCGAGCCCAACGAAATTTAACATAACATTTTTTAAAAATTCAATTTATTTATCAGATAAACACAAGATTTAAAATCATAAGTTGTTCAGAGTGTTTTTGTTTAAAAAAATAATCTGTTCAGTAATTGTAATGTAACTCTTTGTCGCGTGACCAGGTATCAGTCGTCAGAGCTACGTACGGTATCAACTTGCACTTGATCAAGTCCTCCTAATAGAGTGGATTTGCGATTTTCGGGGTACACTTTTTCGATCCTAGATTTTATAATATTACGGGATGGTATTTTGTAGTTTGGTGCAACAATGGCCATCAGTTTTTTAAAGTCTTTGCCTACAACCAGTTGTAATCAAACACAACCATATCAATAATCGCACATGTGATATCATCCGCTCTTTTCCCGAGAATTAACGGCTTCTCGGAGAATTGACAAAATTATCTAATTTATTTAAACATAATGGATTTAAAACGATGTTCAGTGAAAACAAATAATTAAAGCCAAACAAAAAATAAGGGTAGAAGACAGCCGAAGGTGAGAAAAGTCAGGTACCCCAGGTGCTTGGTCACGATAATTACTGTATAAACACTGCCACATGCGATAACGGTCATTTAGAGTCGTAGTAAACCCTAATTACTGTATGTACAAGTGCAATGAGCATTTTACATTTTAAAAGAGATTGTTTAATGCATAATAAATAAGCTTAGAAATATTCAAAAATATACATCCGAGTAACCGAGTACCGATTTTAGTATTCGATACTCAGACGTTCGATCGAGTACCCGGTTAACCGGGTACTCGTTGACATCCCTAATTTACACATTAATTCATTAAGATCTGTCTTTAAACAAAATTTCTCTGTGTTGTTATACATGACAAAATCGTGTACTTTATCTCTACTACTAGTAGTAAAATGAATTATTTAACACAAAACTTTGTATACTTGACAGGAAACAAGATATGTTACGGATTCTTGAGATAAATTTTCTTTAAAGAGAAAAAAACTTTCAAGTTAATTTAATACAGTACAAAGGAAGTTTGCAATGTCTCTATGGCTAAAACAAAAAAAATCCAATCTAATAGGCTGATGTACTAAAAAGTGTTGAGGAAAATCCTAATTTGCAGTGTAAAAATTTCAAACCTAGACAAACTTGCCTTTGAGCACATACATACATGAAATGTCATTATACATTTAAAGCTGAACCTAATTGGACATTTTAATACCCTTCAATTTAACAAATCATTGATCTTGTAACTTTATTTGACATTTCCGTTTGGAACAAATTACAATAAATCACACTTAAAATGCTCATGCAAATTCATGCTTACAGCAAAGAAATTTTCATTAACCTGAGTTTTAAAATTATTTAAAGGTGTCCATAAATTATCAGGTACAATAAGTTAAGAGTTACTTTACCTTTGTGCCTCCTAGGTAACCGCCAACAGCACCAAAACTTTTAGTAAAGGTCCCCATCATGATGTCAATGTCTTTAGGATTAACACCGAAATAATCCACCACTCCCTTCCCATGAGGCCCCAGGGCTCCGATGCTGTGAGCCTCATCCAGATAAACGTAGGCTTTGTATTTCTTTTTTAACCGGATTATGTCTGGAAGTCTGACTATTGAACCCTCCATACTGTAAAAAAAATAATACTAAATAAAATTAACTAAAATTTACTTATCAGTAATTGCAGCAAAATTTACCTTTCCAAAAGCTTTGAAGTACCGGTACTTTTTCTTTTTTCTTTCTTTTTTTTTTATTTATACGAGGGTTGTCCCGTAAAATCGTGGACAAGTCGTCTAGTGTGAAAAATAAACATCACTGCGTTCTGAAATTTTCACTATTATTTAGTACATATTTTAGTAATATACACAGCAAATTTCAGATAAATATATGCATAAATAAACAATTTATGAGATTTTATGCCATGTATTGTATCACCTTACAGCGCATGGATTATAACGTCAAAGTGTCTAAAACAGCGTCACGTTTTATGTTTGCTGAAAATGAAGTTGGATGAGTCCGACTTAAATTTAGGAATTTCAATGATACACATTCTTTAGTCTCCATAAACAGCCGAAGAACCAATTGGCACCCTCATGCGATCTTCTGAAGATTTATTATAAGTTACGGACAATATTCTCACCATCATTCAACTAATAGAAAATCTCATATCGGCGGTCTACTGTGACAGCGTCTTTTGCTATTATATTAGGAGTTTGTCCGTATGTTTTGTACTCCCCAGGGACTCGATAAAAAAATTCTCGCTAAGAAAACTCCTATTTCATTTGTATACTTAAGATATGGTGATATTTTTATAATCTTTTTTCTTCTATGGTCATTTCAAGTCTCTAAAGGTGCATTACAACATCGAAATAAAACTGAACTGTTCTCCGGTGCGCCGTAACGTCATAAAACGTCGCCATTTTTCGTGTGTTGTGTTTACCACTTTCCCATTTCGATTGCTCGAGAAACTGTCAATAATTAAGCAAATGCCATAAAATTTTTACAAAGACTACAAAATTGATTGTGGAATTGAATTAAGATAATTTTAATCCAAATCTTATGTATTTGAAACTTTTATTTTGAATTCAAACTTGTGTATTCTTTAATAAAACCTTGGGGTTTTTTTTACCGTGCGCCGTTGTACAATACATCTTGCACATTCAAGCATAATAAAATCTTTATTTTTGCCTACATTTTATCAAAGAAATTATCATGCACTTAAATATGATAAATAAACATTTATTGAAAATTTCAGCGTAGTGCGCCCATTACTTTTTGAGAAAAACGCTTTGTCCACGATTTTACGGGACAACCCTCGTATACATTATATCTCAGTTAATAATTTAGTTCGTTTCCTTCTAAATTATCTCCCTTATACAGTTTGCAGTGAAACGGTAATAAAAAATTTATATTGCAGATATTATCACACGAAAGATTTGTATCGTGGAAGAAATAAATGCATGCATATGTAAACTGAATGAACTTGTTACACCAGGAAATCTTTCACATTGTACTAGGAATTAACATCTTCAGGTACCATAACAACTTCCTTTTCCTGAAGTGTTTAACATTTTTTTTCCTTGTTTAATCACATTTTCTCGGGCACATTATATTGCAACCTTTCCCCTTCCCCTTTTTTCCCCTCACCAATAGTTCTGAGGAAGTGGATAAATATATATAATAGGTTAAATAGAACAACAAAAAAAAACCTGAAGCAAATATTCCATATTACAATGTACAGTATATACCCAGGAACATATAAAGTTATATGTACAGTCATACCTTGTTATCATGACCTTGAAGGGACTAAGATAAAAACTTGTAGATATCTGATATGGTATTTCAAGGGTAAAATTCTTAAAGAGCAAGGGATTGGGGCTTCTAAATCCTTTCAATGTATCCATATTAGATATATTTGAGATATTTAATAATGTACAAGACAGAATGTTCAAATATATAATATAAATCAAATAAATCATTCTTTATGCCTTTGCTCCTATGCTTGACTTACCTGTATATTCCCTCTACCACAATGAGTATCTTTTTCCAGGGTCTGTGTGTTCTGGGCATCCCCTCTGTCACAGCAAAGCGTAATTTACTCTCTAAATCTTCCATATCTTAAATGCCAAAGACAATTATCAGTGCACAATAAGCTGGAAAAAAGCAAAGTTTTTAATCATTCATCTTTTTGCAAAATGGAATTGACTGGAATTCCATACACATGTATTTTGATGATCAATCAAATTTCATGGGTAAACAAAGATACATTCATTCATGTATTGTT